TGGTTTCATCCTATCTGTACAATTAAGTTGTAATCCTTCCCTCTTTCTTGAAGATGTAGGATGCTTTGAGATGTGGGATGAAAAGTTCTTAAAAGGAATTATCCTATATTTTTAATGCATGTAAAGTATTAGTCTGGAATAGAATTGGTTCAGTGGATCCATGAATACACAGACTTTTCGGGCCAGAAGGCACTGCTGGGTAATCTGATCTGACTTGTGTGTATTATATTTGATCCTGTTAGGGCTGTACAGAGGTTGGGAACTTGCACAGATACACGGGCTGGCTCTAGGAACTGTCTGCAAAGCTCAGCTCTCTTAATGATCTGTGAAATCTTTCCATGCCTGGATTAAGGAATGTGAGGTGCTGAAGTGAACCGTTTAATGATCTTCTCCTTTATTCCATCTCAGTGGCTCAGGGCAGGATTCACATTCTTGTTCAGTTCTTTCTTTTCCAGTTTGAATACGTTCTCCTTTGCATCTTAATAGCCCCAAGCCCAGAGCTCTGCTTTCAGCATTTCAGGGCTTTCAGTTCCTAAAAGACTTTCTCCAGCCTCCCATGTGCTGTTTTCAGGCTGGAGTGGACAGATGAGGGCTCTGGAGCTCATGCCGGCTGTGCAGGAGGGCACTCAGAAGAGCTGTTTTCTCTGGGGAAAAAGCCACCATCTGTTTTTGTGAAGCTTCCTTTGCTCTTCTTAAATCATGAACAAACACGAGATCTGTTTGGCTCTTTCTTTTTGCATCCCTTGTTTTCCTAACAGGCAAAACCAGAGGATGCACAAACTCAGCAAAGGCAGCTGTTCCCCCTTCTCTTCCTGTTCCCTCTTGGTTCAGAGCTCGCCTGGGCAGAAGTGCTGGCTTTGGGGCACTGGGGATTCCCCAAAAGACACAGGCAGCAAGCAGAGGATTGCCAGGGATCTTTGCAATACTGCAAGTTTGGAGTGGACCTCTTTAAAGTTTGGCTTCTTTAATATAACACAAAAAACCCCCAAAATAAACAAAAAACCTCAAATCCAAGCCCCAGACAACAAAAGCAACCCCAGCCTCCTCAAAGTCTTTTTTAATGAGCTTTTCTGGGGTCTCGCTCCACCTTCAGTGCTGTAAATTGTCCTTCCCATTGATCAGCACGATCAGTGCAGGGCCACACAGCCCAGGCAGCAGGGTGGGGACAGTAAATGAGATTTACTCCCTCGCTGTGCCGCGGTCAGACAAAAGTGGCAGCAGATGTGACCGGTCGAGGCTGTGAATTACAAGTGGCCAAGTCTCTGTTCCCAAGGAAACGGGGAGGAGCCGGGGGCTGTGGGAAAAGGAGCAGGAGGATGTGTGTGTGTGGGTGGTGGGCTGGTGTGGGTGTCCCTGGGCAGTGTCACTGCCAGGCCAGGGTGGGCATGGCTCTCTCTGCTGCCCTGAACCTGCAGCCAGAGCAGGCAAGGAGTGAGCAAAGCAAAGAGCTGGAGTGGCCCTGGAGCTTTGTGCTCCCTGCAGGAGGACAGTGTGGAGCTGTGCTGTGCTTGCCCAGGTCCTGTGCCCCAGCCTGGCAGGCAGGGGCCATGGAGACACATCCAGGGTGGGGCACTGCCAGCTGGCTCTGTGCCAGGCAGGGGAAAACATGAAAATGTGCACTTCTGCTGCCTGAATTTAGCTCCCAAAGCTTGTCTAGTCCCAGTGGCGACTCTTGTGGTAATCCACAGCTGCAAAGTGAGGATCCAACCCCGTCTCCAGCATCTGACAAGGATGTGGGTCCGTACCTGCTGCCAGGCTCCAGCTCTGCCCGTGCCTCTCTTCACAGAGAGGGGCAGGGAAAAGAACCACTTTGGGTCAGTCTGGCTCATTTCTGTGAGCGGTGCAGAGTGAGGCAAACCCATGCCAAGTGGGGATTTCTTCTGCAAGCAGGTTTGCTTTCCCCTTAGTCTCAGAGAGCAAGGACCATGGCATCCCTGGCTAGCATTGGGTTGCATGCTGAGAGCACCTGGAGAGGCAGCTGCCTAGTTCTTCCCAGAGCCAGGGAAGCTGTGCTTGGCATTGCTGCCTGCTCTGGCCAGCTCTCTCTCCCCATCTGGCACACACGATGTGTGGTTTGAAGTGCTGTTTCTGTTCTTAAATTGGACATAATTGCAACACACCGTTATATCTGTTCTCACTCTTGATCTGTGGGAAGTTTGGCCTTGAGGCTCATCTGAAGTTGACAATAAGTACTGTTTGGATTCCTTTGGTTGGTTTTTGGTTCCTTGTGTCCCAGGAGCACGGGCAGTGCTGCCTGTGAAGGGAACTGAGTGCTCTGCTTCACTCAAACACTGGTTGTTCCCTGCTGCCTCCTCAGGAGCCAGGCTGGCCACTTTCAGATCTGCATTCAGAGACAGTTTTTAAGAGAAATGTGCTGTCAGTAATTCCTGTGGGTTTGGAGTATCATAGGTTATGACAAATGCCACTGCCTTGGCAGCAGCAGTGGCCAGCATCCTGTGCAAGGGCAGGAGAGGGAAGGGGCCGGTGTGGGGAGCAGCGTGTGGGATCTGCTGTTGCTGTGCTTCTCGGTGGCAGAGCTCTGCCACCTTCTTCTTGTGCTTGCTAAGCTTATTAATCATTTCAAGGTTTCATTGTTACCGTATCAGCTGTGGTATTTGTTCTGGGACAGCGAGGAGCTGTTCTCATCTTCCTTTGCCCTTTGCATTGAATGAGGGGCTGTTCCAGGGCAGGGGTTTCCCAGGGGAAAAGAAGTCACTTCATGATACAATTTTTTTACACTTTCACTTCCCTTCTGAATAGCTGCAGATGAAGATGCTGCCTCACAGCCCAGCACTGTGGGGGCTTGGTGTGGGTATGAGGAAAAACTGGGGCTGAACATGCTAAGTGCTGCTGCCCGGGCATGGGCTGGGGATTACAGACACACATGAAAAAAACCTGAGAAATGCCAGTACCATGGGAGTTGTTTTCATACTGGAGAAGTGTTTTCCTTTCTCTCTCTCTATCTCTCTCTCTTTTATTTTTTTTTTTTTAAACCAGGAATGTCTTATTTCAGATAAAAGGTTTGTCTTGTTCTTTGTTTTACCAGGGGCCATATCTCGTGTCTTTGTCTCGGCAGTGATGTTACTAACCACACGGAAGGAAGGAGAGGGGAAGCTTGTGGGCTTGCTTTGGACTGTTTGCTTTCACTGCAGGTCGCCTTGGGATGGATGTGCCCCTGGCATTTGTCTGTGGATGCTCCAGACCGTGGGCCCTGCAGCTCCTTGGCTGCCAAGCTCAGTAGTGTCACTGCTGGGAGCTGCCAAAGGCTCTTGTGGATGCAGCCCTCACCAGGAAGGTGGATGTTCCTCTGGCAGCCCCATCCCCAGCAGCCCTCAGCTGCTGCTGCCAGCCCCTGTCGGCGTGGGGAGCTCGCTGTGCAGGGAACAGTGCCAGAGGTGCCGGCAGCAGGAGCGTCCCATGGGCACACATGGGCTCCCAAAACTGCCCTGCCAGCGTGGGCTCCCAAAACTGCCCTGCCAGTGTGGGCTCCCAAAACTGCCCTGCCAGTGTGGGCTCCCAAAACTGCCCTGCCAGCGTGGGCTCCCAAAACTGCCCTGCCAGCGTGGGCTCCCAAAACTGCCCTGCCAGCGTGGGCCCAAAACTGCCCTGCCAGCGTGGGCTCCCAAAGCTCTGCCCTGCCAGTGTGGGCTCCCAAAGCTCTGCCCTGGCAGTGTGGGTTCCCAAAGCTCTGCCCTGGCAGTGTCCTGTCTGTGGGGACTGAGCTGGCTCCTTGGCATCACGCTGAGGTTCCTGCCCTCTCGGGGCTGTGCTCCCAGCACCTGTCCGTAGCTGGGGTTTTCCTGGAGGAACAGCTGGCTGATATTTCATCGTGGATCCAGGCTTGAGTTGCTTAGCTTTGTGTGTGCCTGAGAGTTCTCCCAAGGGAAATGGTGAGTGCTGGTGAAACATGGGATGACAAAGCACTAGAAAACACATCTGAGGTATTTCTGTTATGAAGAGGGCTGGACTTTTAGGGAAGGCAGCACATGGATACTCTGAAGGGGGCATAAAAACAGTTGAGAGTCAAATGGCCTTGTTAGTGTATTCTGTATTTGTGTAAGAATTGGATCCTTCCTGAGTCCAGCTTGCTGTGCTATATTTGCAATGAGCTATTGGGTCTAATCCCAGTTGTGAGAAAATAATGGCTTTTGTTGCCAAGCATATTTTCTCACTTGTCACAAATCAGTGGGGTGAAGCATATGTTAGAGGAGCGGCTGTCTCAGGCTGCCCGGCGGGAGGATCCGTGACAACACTGTTCTCCTGGATGGATAATTCAGATAATTCAGCATCGTGGAGCAGCCACCCTGCCCAGCCGGGGGGTGGGTGTGCTGCACCCGGAGCTCTGTGCTGGGGTCTTGGCAGCAGGGCTTTGTCCTGCTCCCCACCACAGCTTTCATCCCAGCCCGTTGCTAGAGAAACCTCTGCTTTTGTCTGTCCCTGTCTGAGCAGCCAGAGCGTGGCTCTGGCCTGGCGGGGCTGGGGAGGGGTGTTGTGCCAAAAGCACATCTCCTGGAGGAGGAGGAGGAGGAGATGCTTGCTTGCAGGGCCTGGCTCCGGTCTGCAGCTGCTGGGGCAGGGCTGTGCAGGGCTCCCTGCCAGCTCTGTTGGCTGCAGCATCACCAATCCTCACAGCTCCAGGCTCCCCTGTGCTGGAGCATGCCTGGCTCCCACAGCCTCTCACGTGTCGCTTTAGGCTCCAGCCTTTGCAAGTATTAATTATCCAGGGTGTTCCACTGCCTGCTTTTCACCAGTGTTTGCCTGTGTAGCATTGGGGTTATCTAACATCCCATCCTGAAGTCCACGTGTGCTGCCTACCCATGAACTCTGCAGGATATCCAGCTGTCCTTCTGCTGGGGTTGGCTTCCGTGGTGGCTCATGCCAGTTAAGGAGCCAAAGGTAAAGTTTTGGGGTTGGGTGCTGAAGAGAGGATTATCTAATGTAGAAACTGTAATTGGCAGTTGGTTGAAGGTAGGAATTGCAGGTCTGTGAATCCCCCCACGATGGATGGACAGGATGGACGTAGCATGGCTGCAAGCTGTGCAGGAGCTGTCAGAGCTGTCCCCAGGAGCGCTGACTCCCAGGGACCCTTGGAGCACTGGGTGATGTTCTTCTTTCTCTCTGCTACCACATCTGTCTTGGCACTGATGGTGCCAGCAGCTTTTCAATTTGTTTTCTACACAAACCCTTCCCATTCAGCATGCAGCAGCAGCCCCTGGGGTCACTGTTGGTGTGGTGGCTTTAGGGTCACGGCTGGCAGCTCCCTGTGCTGCAGAGCCTGTCCTGTGCCTCCACATGCTGGGCTGACACTGACCTGGCTGAACTCCTGCTAGGAAGTTTGGAAGTGTCAAATCAACACGTTACAGGCACAGGAAAAACAAAGAAATTTTGTTGACAAAGGTCAAAGTGTGCCAGGGAGAGAGAGAGCTGGACTCCAGCAAACCGGGAACAGAGAGAGTAAAGACTGAGGCACTGATAACAGTTGTTGTGGGACCTCATTTGCAATTTAGTTTCCTTTCCTGCATTCTTTTAGCAGAGAATTTAACATTTAAAGGTATCTCTAGCATTCTCTGTGGAGTGGGATTGTTCTGCATTTCTAATTTCCACAGCTTGCTGTGAGTGAGGGCTAGTGTGTGAATGTCTGTGTGCACAGATGCCCAGGGTGCCCTGTCTGGGCAGAGGCAGCAGCTGTGCTGAGCATCCCTGCTCTGCCTCACCTTCCTCCTCTGCCAGGGGCCTCGGCTTCTTGCCAGTGTCAGGTGAGCAAAGTGAGAAAAATAGACCTACTTAAAACCTTAGGGAAAGGCAGAGGAGTCTCGTGTGTTACAGATCGTTTATACAGCTGTTAGGAACATTAAAGAGGCTGTTCCTGTAGGTAAGACTGCAATGGCCACAAGAGCCGTGGCTGCTTGGGCACTGTCATGAGGGGAACAAAGTGGAGGCTCTCAAGGTGAGCACATGCAGGAGCTGCCTCACCTCTGCTGTGCCCAGCTGCCCTCTGCCAGGGGCTGTGTGCTGGTGGGGAGCTGGGGGCAGCTCTCCCCTCTCCCCAAGGGCTATGGGAACAGGGAGCCAGCTCATGGACCCGTTCCATCAGCTGACCCTGCCATTCCAGCTCCTCTGATCCCTCTGCCGTGCAGCTGCCCCCCGCAGCCAGCTCAGCCCAATTGTTCTCAGTTTGAATAGATTTTCCTACTGTCTAGTCTCATTTTTCCTCTCCTTTCAGCTCTGCTCTCCTGGGGGGCTCCCCATCCCTCCGGGCAGAGCTCAGCTGCTGCTCCAAGGAGAGCGAGAGGCTCCTGCACCGAGCTGCAGAAACCCTGCCCGGGGATGGGCAGGGCTGGGGAGCTGCATTTCCAGCACTTTCTGTGCCACAGGTGCTGTGTTCTTGTCTTGCACACAGGGAAAGTGCCCAGCTGTGCCCGTGAGCAGCGCTGCCATCCCCACTGCCTGCCTGTCCTGTGGGGTCAGAGCTGAGCGGGGTCAGAGCTGGATCAGAGCTGTGCGGGGTCAGAGCTGTGCAGGGTCAGAGCTGTGCAGGGTCAGAGCTGGATCAGAGCTGTGCGGGGTCAGAGCTGTGCGGGGTCAGAGCTGGATCAGAGCTGTGCGGGGTCAGAGCTGTGCGGGGTCAGAGCTGTGCGGGGTCAGAGCTGTGCAGGGTCAGAGCTGGATCAGAGGTGTGCAGGGTCAGAGGTGTGCAGGGTCAGAGGTGTGCGGGGTCAGAGCTGTGCGGGGTCAGAGCTGGATCAGAGCTGTGCGGGGTCAGAGCTGTGCAGGGTCAGAGCTGGATCAGAGCTGAGCAGGGTCAGAGCTGTGCAGGGTCAGAGCTGAGCTGGGGATTTGCAGCCAGGTGCTGGGTTCCAGGCAGGGTGAGCACTGGAGAGCAGCTCTGTCTGTTGTTCCTGCAGTGCCTGTTCCCTGCAGGATGCAGTGGGGACCCAGGTGCTGTAGGAGACACCAACTGCCCAAGGAGCCCATCCCCACATGCCACAGGCACCTCCAGGCACTGCTGAGCACAGCGTGTCTGTCCCGGGGTCTGAGGGTCCTTAGGGGAAAGCAAATAAACCTGGAACAGATGAAACCTTTGGTGTTTTTGAGCTGGGATTTGGAGGGCATGAAAAACTTTATAAGTCTTTGAGGCACAGCTGGGTTTGATTTGTAGGTAAAACCAACAGTGCAGGGGGATGGGGTGAGAGAAGGGTGCATGGCAGTGCCAGCTTCCTTGAGGTCACTGCTGGCCATCCTAGAGGTATCCACGTGGACATTTATCAAGAAATAATACATTAGTTTATATGAATATAGTGTGTGATTTCAGGTAGTACCAGATAGATAGAAGTGTTGTTTTATGATTTCAAAAGGCAGTTGAAAGCTCTGAGGTTGGTCTCGGTGTTGTAAGACTGTTTTGACAAATAATAAGGTTTAATGTGAGGCTGGTCAATGGCACTGTCTGCGCTCTTTGGGAAGCAGATTCTTCGGCCTTTTTGAGCTCTGAATTCACCCCAGGGCCTGGAGGGAGCTCCAGCAGAGCTGTGCTGTTTGCTCTGGGACAAGGAAGGACACCCTTCCTGGCCAGTGCCCGTAGCTGATGTCTTTTGTTTTTTCCCCTGTGCTGTGTGCCTGCAGAAATCCGAACGCAGCTGGTGGAGCAGTTCAAATGCCTGGAGCAGCAGTCGGAGTCGCGCCTGCAGCTGCTGCAGGACCTGCAGGAGTTCTTCCGCAGGAAGGCCGAGATCGAGCTGGAGTACTCCCGGAGCCTGGAGAAGCTGGCTGAGCGCTTCTCCTCCAAGATCCGCAGCTCCAGAGAGCACCAGTTCAAGTAAGTGGGTGCTTCCAGGGGCAGGCTGGAGACAAATGATGGGCAGAGGTTGCTGTGAGCGCTGGAGGTTGGTTTGCAGCTGTGCAGTGGAGTAAAGCCCATCGTGTCAGCAGTGACCTCCTCTGTGTCATCCCTGCGTGGGGCTCACGGAATAAACGGGACATCTCTCTTTGCAAGACTTCCACCCCAGCATCACTGACCTGTGCTGTGTGAATTACACCTGCCGTGCACTTCTGGAGCAACACAATAACAATAGGAACTGGGGACTAGGAAGGAGTCAAACCCCTTGATTTTTGGAAGGGTCTTGAACTCAGCCATGACTTGATTGTGTGAATAGTGGTGGGCCTGGTGTGTAGCCCTGGTTTCTGTGTGTAGCCCAGTCATCAGCTGTCCAGGTGCTGCGTGTTTCATGCAGGCTCACTGGCAGGCTCAGGCTTGGAAGCAGTTTCTGGAAATGGAGTTTACTGCAGTTTATTTGCAATAAAGCATGTGGTTTTTCTGTGCTTAGCCGTACGGTGTTGGAGGGAGGCAGATCCTTAGTGGAAATATTGTGAAACAAAGCTTTGAAGTAGAAAATATGAACTGAATCTTGGGATTGTGTGAGAACCAAACCAGTGATGCAATTGTGAAATCCATGAATATGTAAACATGTGTTTTGAAAAGCAGCTTCTTTTCAGTTTAACCACACTTGTGAGCTGGGCTAAAACAGAAAATATCTGAAAAAAATAGAAAGAAAACCAAACTTGACTCAGAGTTTCAGTTTGGAGGTGACTGCTCTGTGGTGAGGATATGGCTTGTGCCATTCTGCTGGCTCCATGGAGGCCACTGCCCATTGCAGCTGGGGGCTGCTCCTGCTCCCTGTGCGTGTGCCAGCCCAGAGGTGCCCGGCTGGGCTCTGCAGGGTGACACTTGCTGCTCCTGCTGGGTGTCAGCAGCTGCTGCTCTTCTTGTGTCCCTTGCCACAGCCAGCTCTCCTGGCAGTGTCAGGGGATCTCACTGGGCAGCACGAGTGGTGCCAGAGCTGTGCCTGTAGGGATGTGTGCCCTGTGCCTGTTGGGATGTGTGCCCTGTGCCTGTTGGGATGTGTGCCCTGTGCCTGTTGGGATGTGTGCCCAGTGGGATGTGTGCCCTGTGCCCAGTGGGATGTGTGCCCTGTGCCTGTTGGGATGTGTGCCCTGTGCCCAGTGGGGTGTGTGCCCTGTGCCCAGTGGGATGTGTGCCCTGAGCCCAGTGGGATGTGTGCCCTGTGCCCAGTGGATTTGTGCCCTGAGCCTGGCACAGGCTGTGCCCCAGGGCCATGTGGCAGCACTGGTGGCACAGAACCAGGTGCTGGTCCTGGCTGCTCTCCTTGCAGCACCTCAGCCCGAGCTCTCCACCTTCTCCTCCCTGGGCCACAGAGCTTGTCCCTGTCTCTTCTGCCAGCAGTATCTGTGAAAGTCTGTCAGCTGGAATTGTGCCCTTTGTTCCAGATGAAGCTCATGTCGTTCAGTTCAGTTCAGTGGCCAAAGACTGCAGCTGCTGTTCAGTGCCTTTCACACAGAGCCTGGGCTTTGCCTGCTTGCTGCCCTTCTCCTCACCAGCCCCAGGCTCTTTACAGTCTATTTCTTCCTCTAACCCCTGGTGATTTTTTTTCCTATTTCAGCTGCAAGAGCAGTGATTTCTGCTGTTACATTACTAAATCCTATTTATTCCATATTACTAAATCCCATTTAATCTGTTTACTCGGTCTCTCCAGTGTGAGGCTTTACTGCTGTCTTATGCCAGGCTCTGCTGCTGATGAGTTGCTGTTCAGATCCTCTCTGTCCTTTTGGCATCTGACTGTTGTGTGTTGGTTGTGGGGTGCTGGATGCTGCAGTGTGCACCAAGGAGTTGAAGAAATGGGCCAGTAAGGAGCTCTGGTTCAGAGATGGAGCCCACAAAGGTTCAGGGGTGTCTGGCTTCACCCATTAGCTTAAAGCAGTATTAGGGCTCTCCATTGCTTACAGTTCTGGAGGCTGCTGCTGTGCAGTGTCCACAGGTGACAGTGATTTCCACTGTTCTAAAAGACCTGGGCACAAGTGCTGGTGTTGATGGGGTCAGTTTGATTTCAGTGCTTGCCCCTGCTGAGTCCTTGCTGTCCGTTCCATGCCTGGAGACTCCCTTAATACATTTTTTATTTCTAGACTGCTCCATACCTGCCCCTACCAGGCTCATCTGCACCACTTCCCCAGCTGCTCATGTGTGTCATTATTCTGGTGAGGCTGTGACACTCTCAAGAGTCACAGTCCCTTCAGCTCCTTTGTCCCCATGCAGCCACGTGCAGCGGGCTGTGCCCAGCCCTGGCTCTGGCAATCGCCGCGGTGCCGTGGCTCGCGTGGCTCCAGCTCCACACACTCATCAGTTTTCTGTCTGTGTGTGCATGCAGCGGTGTCTGCAGTCTTCAGGCTGTCCCCTCCAGCATACCTGAGCGTGTTCATGTTGTGCACAGGTAATGCTGGATGCAGAACCCTTCCATGAGCACTTTTTAGTGGACTAAACCCAGCAGAGTGTATTGGGTGGCAAAGGGCCCTTCTGCAGTGGAGTCACAGCCCTGTTCGTAGTGTGAGTGCAAAGAAGGAGCAAAACTCTCTCCCTTTCCAGGGATGTCTCCTCTCCTGTGCCATGTTCCAGAACACTCCATTAGGGCAGGGGCTGGCTGGGGGCCCGGTGTGGTACGGGTCCTTGTGTGCCACTGGACATCCCTGCGTGGCAGTGCTGGTACAGCTGGGAGAGATCATGCCCCAGATCCCAGTGGCTGTGTGCAGGGGAGGGAGGCGATGTGCTGGCAGCATTCATTTGAAAATGTGTGCCTTTTTGATGCGTTCACCTGACCTTTTGGGTTTTTTTCCCCACAATTCTGTAGGAAAGATCAGCACCTCCTTTCCCCTGTGAACTGCTGGTACCTGGTTCTGACGCAGACCCGTCGGGAGAGCCGAGACCACGCCACCCTGAACGACATCTTCATGAACAATGTCATCATCCGGCTGTCGCAGATCAGCGAGGATGTCATCAGGCTCTTCAAAAAGGTAACAGCCAGGGCAGCCTTGCTTCATGAGCGTCCATCCTGGCACTTTAGTCTAAAATAGAACTGTAAATGTTGCAGAGCAGATCTTGCAAGGGACCCTCACTAAAACTCTCCCCAGGCAGTATTTCCTGGAGTTCTAAAGAAACTGAGATCTAGACCTGTCAAGTCTAGAGTGTGAGGTGTGACCTGGTGCTCAGAGTGTCAGTGCCAGAGAAATGAGAGGGAGAAATGTGATGACTTCTTTTGAAGACTCCTTGGGGGACTTCAGAGAACAGGTCAGAACAGGCTAGTTGGGTGGAACCTTGCTCAAGAGCAGGACAGCGAGGAGGCAGTTACAAAAGGATGTAACTTCAGTGTGGTCTCCTGAAGGGAAGAATCATGCCTCAGAAATTTGGTGCAGCTATTTCCAGGAGCCCGAGATCATGTCATTAGCTGGTGCAGGGCCCTGGCTGGAAAGGAGCCTTAGCTGAAATTCTTGAAGAGCTGTTGAAGAGTAGAGAGGGGTTGTTTTGTGGATTAATGATTAGTTAAAAGACAAAAAAAAGGGAAGGAGAGTTCCAATGCAGTTCCTAATAAATTATTTGGAAAAAGCCCGAATAGTAAGATGACAAAATCTGCTGATGATACAGAATTATTAATGATAACCAAATTAAAAAGAAACATCAGAGACTTCTGAGAATCACGTAGTCAGGTGGACCAGGACTGTTCATTGAAGGTGAGGAGTGTGGTAAGAGCACAGCAGAGGGTAGGCTCAGTGGCTTTGTTTTCATCAGGGCCAGCTGGGGACTGTAGTGAGGAAGCAGGGTGAGCCACAGGGCACCTGCCTCTCCAACAGGAGAACACTCATAATCAGGGCTTATCTGGAAATTTCAGCCTGACTGGAGAATAAATTTCATGTGGTATTTTTATGGCCAGTTTCCTCTAGTTTATAGAGCTGACCTAGAAATTAAACTGCAAGGTCGGGTTTGTGTTGGCTGATTTGATATGGATACCATCCCTTTTCCTGTTCTCCAGTCCTGCAGAAATGGAGATGTTTGGTATATGTCGGTTAGTCCAGCTCTGTCTCAAAATGTTCCTCCTGTTTGCATTTTGCTCTGAACTGGTTTTTGAGATTTATATTTAATGTATCCTTCTGCTTTCCCTGCCCATGTCTGTGGATGGTGTGTCTCGTTTGGAAGCACAGAACAAACTCAGCCAGCTTGCAAACAAGGACATGTATTCAGTGTTCTGAGTGTTCTCCCGTTGTGTGTCAGTCCTCAGCCAGGACGGGATGTGAGGTATTTCATCCATTCAGCAGAATTATTTCTTTGTGTTTGGTTTTCTTTCACCTCCCCTCATTTTTGAACTTAAATTTCAACCTAAGGCTCAACACTTAAATTGAAATGGTTGCTCCTTGTTTCTCCCTCCTCCATCTGTTGCCAGGAGAGCTGGTGTGACTCTGCAGCCTGTGAGAGCCAGCACCTGCTTTGCATCCAGAGAAACCTTTACAGTTTGTGGGCATCTGTAATTCCACTGTGCTTGATCCTTGGGCTTACCTGTCCTTGGAAATAACGTTCAGCTAAATCAGGGAAAAAACTTACTTTGTGTCAACGTTTGCCTTCCATGTGGACAGGGGGGCTGCCACTTTGGGGCATATTCAGGGTGTTCATTTTTCTCAACCTATGGCATGCCTTGTCTGAAGGGGTCTGAGGCTGCACTTCCCACTTCACAGCCAGTGCTCAGTGGGCACCTGTGTGGAAACAGGAGCGTGCTGGTAAATGGATTTTGAAGATCCAGCCGTGCAGTGTTTGAGGCTGCTCAGAGAAGGGATCTTTCACTGTTGTGTCCAGCCTGGCTTTGAGCGTGGTGGGTAAAGTGCTCCAAGCCCCTTCCAGGGGCCCAGGCTGCTGGCACCTAACCCGGCTGTAGAAGGGTTAAAGCACCCACAGCTGCTGGGTGTGCTGGAAATTGCTCTTTGGTGGTAAATTAGGGTAACGTTTTTTTCCAGAAATGTCACTTCTAATTCTTCCCATCTAGAGTTTATTAATGGGCTGTGACATGCTGCGGGGACATAAGGAACTGGGAGGTTTTGTGTTTCCTGCCTTCATTATGTAAATGTAAACAGTCCCGGGGAAGCGGCAGCGAGGGCTCGCGGCGTTCAGGAGCAGCAGTGGCTCAGCAAGTGCTGATCTGCCTGGAAAGATGTGGGGTGCTGAGCTGGGGTGCCAGGCTGCTCCCTCGGCTTCCCTGGGTGAGCCTGGCAGCAGTGGGGTCACCCATCACCGAGTGGGGCACTGCTCTTGGTTCCTCCCCAGCCGTGTCCTTTCCCCCGCTGGCCGGCAGCTCCAACGCCTCCTCTCGTGTCCGGCTGGGAACCCTTCCAAGCCAACCAGCCTGTGCCTCTCTGAGGAAGCAGGAGAAGAAAATTCAATTGGGCAAATTTCCCTGGAGCTTGCAGTGTGAGTCACGTTCCCGGTGCAGGAGATGATCGAGGCGAGCGTGTTGCTGTTGCTAATAGGCAGCAGTAAGTGGAGATGCTGAGGTGAGTCCCTGTGGGGATCTGGCTCTCTCTGCTCTCAGGGCAGGTCTGGCACCATGAAACCTCACAGTGTGTCCTGGCAGCCTCAAACCCAGCGTGAGGGACCCGTTGCCAGGCAGGTGTGTGCTCCACTCTCACCTTCTGCTGTGGAGAAGGAAGTTTGATGCTTCTTCCAGGTATGGGGTACAGGAAATGACACATTTGAGACAGAGCATTGCTATATCCAAAATGAGGGTGCTGGGTTACTCCCCAGTGTGGGATTCATTATGTGCTGTGACAGTGAATTTAATTACAGCCTGTCCTGCATTGTCCTGGATGGAGGCTGGGTGAAGAAGTGGTGTCTGGATGGGAGCTCTTGTCTTTGCTCTAGAATAAGTGTTCTCTGTTGCTGTCATCCCTGCTGCTGCTTCCCCATACTTTGTCAGCAGTGGCAGGAATTTTAATAAATTGCTAACTTGAAACCATTGGTGTCTCAGTGAGCAACTACGAGTTTTAGGAGGAATGTGAGGCATAAAGGAAACAGCTTTATTGTGGTTTGGGTTTTGTGGATTGTCCCAGGGAACAGGAATAATGTTTTGGTGTTGTCCCCTATAAGCACACAAATATAATTTCTCCATTGGAGAAAGGGAAGGCAGCAGGTTGGGAGGAGAGGCAAATCCTTCAGCTGCTCGCTTGCTTCTGCTTGAAAGAGGCTTCAGCATCCTCACTCTGGGCATTCACTGCCCTCTGGGATGCTGGGGGACTCCAAACACACTGCAGAGCCTTTGGCTCCCTGAGCAGGGGGCCATGTCTTGGGTTGTGGGTTCTGTAAGCAAATGACTCTTTATCTGTGCTCCCCACCTGTGGTTGCCTGTGCAGGTGTAGCTCATGGAACAACACACTGAGCCAGTTTGTGTTGCTCTATTTTGGAGTCTAAAATTGGGTTTGAAAATTACAGCTTTGTGTCCTTGCCCTGCATGGGGCAGGAAATCCAGGGCAGAGCAGGAGCTGCAGCTCAGCCTGGGCCGTGGCTTCTGCCAGCCTGTCCTGTCCTCCTCCCCAGGCTCTTGGGAAGCCTTGGTTTGGGGAGTGGCCTGTGACTCGTGGGGGTGGCAGGGGGGGTGTGTGTCACTGGGCTCCTGCAGGATGTGGGCTCCAAGCCCCCTCTTTGTACACCTTGACTGTAATAACTCAAATTAGAATCACAGAATTGTTCAGGTTGTAAAAGCTCTCTGAGACCATCAAGTCCAACCCTTCCCCTAGCACTGCCAAGGCCACCACTAACCCGTGTCCCCAAGTGCCACATCCACACAGCTTTTAAATCCCTCCAGGAGCAAAGAAGAAATTTTTCCTAATATTCAAGCTAAACCTCCCTGGCACAACTTGAGGCTGTTTCCTCTTGTCCTGTCCCTTATTCCACCGTCCTGTCAGGGAGTTGTAGAGATTGAGAAGGTCCCCAGATATCTTTGGGCTGTGTCTGGGGGGATGCACACCTATTATGGCTCTGCTGTGAATTAGCAAGCCCCAGTGAGATTCTTGAGAGCAATGATGACCATTAGTGTGGGTGGGCAGGGGACAGGGACTGGGGTCCAGTCCAGATGAGGGTTCCTGGTGGCCCTGGGCCTCAAGTGAGCACCTTCTGGTCACTGGCATCATCCATGGGAGTGGGACTGGTGTGCATCATTCGGGGCTCTGGGGGTGGACTGTCCTGGGTCCCCTGACACTAACTCACTGTGGTTGCTGGGTGGGACTTTCACCCTCCAGACTCCTTGTTTCAGGCTTTGCTTTAAGTCTAGCTTCTAATAATCTAGATTAAACTTTCCATGTAGGTTGTCCCATTGGCTGGAATTAGAGGACCTTTCTGTGTCGAGGGCTTCTCTCATCACCCAGCCCGATGGAATGTTGTTTTCCCTGCCCACGTGCACAAAACTTCCTGGAGTTATTTGAGGAAATCTGGAAGAAACTGCTCAGTTTTGTTTTGGTTTGGTTTAGGGGAGGGAGGAGTGGGGTGTCTAAACTTAGTTTAAACACATCTTCAAGCTATAAGAAGTATTTTCTAGCCAAGAAGATTCCACGGAGAGATTTGTGGTGTAATTACAGGGAGGCAGGAAAGCAGAGCGAGCACATCCCAGCACCTCCAGCTGCTGGCTTCCAGTGGAGTTGTTTTGATCTGCAGCCAAGCTCCAGTGCTGGGCAGCTCCCCATGCTGTGGCCTCTGCATGAAGGGCTGTGTCCATGCTCTAGGAGGCTGTGACTGCATCTGCCCCGTCCTGCCTGGCAAGGAAAGGGAAAACACGGGCTGATAATGGGATTTCAGCAGACAGGAGAATGCCAGGAGTTCCTCACTGGCAGTGAGTGACTCCTCAGCTGGCTGAACTTTGCCTGCTGCTGTTGTGAAACTGGAAACTTTATTACATAACAGTGGTGTGGCTATTTTGTAGCGTCCTTTTTCAGAGACACTTTGGTTCACTCGGGTCAGAATAGTGAAAACGAGCTACTGAGGAGAAGCTGGGAGGCTGGGTCATGGCCGAGGGAAACATAAACCTGGGGTGCCAGTGCTGGGGAGCTCTGATAATCTTTGCTCTGAAATACCAACATTGGCTGGAAATGGCAGATGTGTTTAATCACAGAGCAGCAGAGTGTTCAGATCAAGACAGATTGACAGGTGATGCTGTGGGGCTGCAGAGTGCCAGTCTAGGGAACTGCAGACCCACAAATGGCTGTCTACACCCTGCCAGTCTCAAAGTGAGTCTCTGCCAGTCCCCAAACTGGGGAGAATGTTGCATGTTATACCCAAAAGGGGAGTTGACTGTGGGCTGGGAATGAATTCTACCAGTCGAAGGGCAAAGCAGTATTGCCTTTAATTTTAGATTCATCTGTTTTGCAGGATAAATAAGTTAAATTATGTGAAATACCTCCTTATGATCTCAGAAACTGAGGTTGGGTGATCCATGGGCAAACATCAACCTCAAATGAATACAAAGCAGTTTTGAAACTGCATGAGACTTTGCTGCACTGTGTATTCACATTTATGATTCCTCTGAAATGTATTTTCATTTCAGAACTGTGAGTTTTGAGCAAAACAGTCTCACCTTCTCTTGTTTTTGTCTTGCAGAGCAAGGAGATTGGCCTGCAGATGCACGAAGAGCTCCTGAAAGTCACCAATGAGCTCTACACGGTGAGCCAAGAGCCGATGCCACCGTTCCCGGCCGGCAGCGTGGGGAGCAGGGGCCTTTGGCAGAGCACATCTGAGGAGGCTCTGCCCTGGCCATCCTGCTGCATGGCCATTCCTTCCCCTCACATCCTCTGGGAGAGTCTCTCCCCGGTGGCACTCCTGGATTTCCCAGCAGCCTGAGGCCAAGGGCTGGCTCAGCTGCTTCCCTGGGGCTGGGCTGGGAGTGGTGGGGATGTTCAGGTGTGATCCAGGTGTGATCCAGGTGTGATCCCAGGCTCTGCAGTGCTCTCACCTGCCGGGGCTCCAGCACCACGTCAGCTTCTGGCCCTGCTCAGCCCCTGGGCTGGTGATTTACAGTGGCTCTGAGCTGGCTGTGCTTGTTTGTTGGACACCTCCCTGCTCCTGTGAGCCTGGGGGGATGGCTTAACATGAACATTTCCCTTCTGCTGGGGAATGCAGAAAGCTTCTGGCTCATAGGGGCTCTGCTCTTGTGCCCCAAGGAGCTCTTGGGCTGCAGAGCTGTCTGTGCCTCCCAGCGAGATCATGTGCTGTTAGTTAGGACGTGGCTCTTCAAGCAGGTTCTCATAGCAGGGTAGTAAAAGTCTTTGTGTTGCTTCTGCCTCTTGCCCTGTAGCAATTGCTTTCTTAAAAAATTTATTTTATTTGTGGTTTAGGAGCAACAAAACCATATAAAGTCTGCCTTTTGTTGGAAAACTGAGATAATGTATTTGCTTTCTTTGGTTGTATCTGTAACTGGTACATAAATAATACTGCGGTAGGTTTATTCCTAAACAAGCATTCCATTTCATCTTTTTGAAAAACAGGCCTAAACAACAGAGCATGAATGATTGTATTTGAAATTTCTGCCATAAATCTCCTCTTAACAGGTTTGTTCCCACATTGGCTGTTGAAGGATTTGATTGCTGTGAGACCTGCAGTGTGGGTGGACAGCAGATCAGATTAAAAAGCCTGTGTGAGATTTGGGAGTGCGTTGTTGGTAGTTGAATGTCACAAGCTGTGTTAGGGGTGGTGACTATTTAAGATTAATTACAGCAGCAGCATGGCAGATGCAAAGCAAGGGAAGACTCACAAGGGCTGCCCTGGATAGCTGTGGACCTGTGTGCTCTGAACCCAGGCAGTGACAGGCCCGTCCCCGAGGGACACAGTGGGGTCCCAGGTGCGAGCAGTGGCCAGGGAGGAGCACAGAGGGAGATTCTGCTCGTCCTCACAGGAGCTGAGATTTCTCCCACTCACTGCTTTGCTCCATGTGCTGAGCAGAATGGGCTTGAATGGTGGAACTGGAGCAGCTGTGTGTTTGTGTTCAGCCTTGCTGCTGAGATAACAAACTGGCTGTGTCACCCAGGCTGGAAGGAGCAGGGAAGGGACATGCTGGCTTCAACAGCACGGAGGAAAAGCCTGTGGGGCAGTCAGGGTCACCTCACATCTGCTGGGTGCCAGCAGCTCCTGCTGCTCAGAGTTCTGTCCTTGAGCCATCAGGTGAAAGGGGCCCAGCTGTCCCCTGGCTCGGGGGTGCTGGGGTGGCTGGGGACACCTTTGGGACTGAGCTGCTGTTGGTGAGTTTGTGCAGCACCTTGGGTGCCCACGGGCAGCACGGCAACTGTGGCTGCTGACAAAAACAGACACGGGAAAAGGGCCTGGCTCTCAGGACACCAGGCTGCTGCTCCCTGGGAAATGTCCCTTGTCTGCTGTCAGCACAGGGCCTCTACCCACAGCTCATCTGTGCCCTGGCAAAGCTGCTTTTTAAGCCTCTCTGAGGGGAATTCTGTGCACTGGGCGGAAACTACAATTTTTTACAGGCTTCTCAGGCATTCTCTGTCTCAAACTTAAGCCAAAACAACCACATTGATTTTAACTCAGCCTTGTTGCTGTTCTGGTGCAAGTCACCCGTGGACTCTGCATGGAGAGAACCAAAGCCACACTGATTTTAATCAAAACGGAAGCAGATGACTTTCATTCTGAAGTGGAGATGCTTGTGAATGGTTTGTGCAGAAATAGTTCAGCTGTAAATTAAAACCAGCTTCGTTCCTTTGGTCCCTCCTCATGGATTCCTGCAGAGAGGTACCACTTGGAGCTGCTAAAGGCAGAAGGCTGGGGGGCCTGAGCCTGTACCTGTCACAGTCACCCCATTTCTGCTCTGGCTCCTCCCTGGGTCAGAACCTTGGGCATGAGCTGTTGAGGAGAACAAAGCCCTTGTAGCTGGAGGCTGCCAGCAGTGCCATTTATGGCCAGTATTTTGGCAACAGCCTTTCTCCAGAACATGTAATTAATATGGAAAACACAACTCGTGTTGTTAAATAACTAATGAACATTGGAACATATTTTTCCTCCTTCGCTGCAGCTAATTAACTGATTTGCAGGAAAGCTCCTCGGGACGCAGCTGTGGCAGTTTGTCTTTGTGTCACAGCATTGCAAGCCAGGGACAGTGTGGTTTGATTGCAGGCAGCGAGATGGCACGAGGGAATTGCAGATCAGGGGCTGATTGCTGCAGTGCAGGTTGGCCCCGGCCAGAATCGAGGCAGATATTAAACAGAACTATCCTCTGAATTTCCAATAGTGAGCTGTGTGGCAGGGCAGTGGGTGAGGAACACTGTGAGCTGTATAAGGTGTCTGTTTTGGTTGGGTAACTGTCCCATAACCTTTGGATTTCACAAAAAACCTGCAACTTGGGCCCCTCTTACTCATTGGGCTTCTCTGTCACGTTGTGTCAGGGTCTCTGTGAGTGCTGCAGAAACCTTTCCTTTCACTGCCTGAAGCCCTGATACACAGCACTTGGCTTTTTCACTTCCCTCTGTGTGTTTCACAAAAATATCTAGATGGTGAGGATGAGGAGGGCTCAGTGAAACCCTCTGGTCTCTCTCTTTAAGGAAATCCCAGGAATTGTCTGGTTTATGTGTGTCCTGTGACATTCACTGCAGAAAAGACAGTTTGAAATATGTGGCTGGGATCTGTGTTAGGAATTTGCAGGGCTTGGAAACGCAGCAGCTCAGGGCCAAGGCAGGAGCCTTTGCTCACTGTCCCTTGGCTGTGCCTGCAGTGGGATCTCCCTGCAGGGGAGGTTTGAGGTTTGTGCTGGGATGCAGTGTTGGGAGCCTGCTTCAGCTGAGGGTTATGCTTGGCAGGAGGAGGGATCATGTGGCTCAGCCTGACCTGCTCCAAGTCACACTCCTGGGTCCTGCTGACAGCCACAGCTGAGCAAAACTGTGTTTTCTTCTCTAAGCCATGTGTAAAAATCCCTGCATGTGCGGGTTCCTGCTCTGTTTTAACCCTTGTGCCTCAGGCAGCCCAGCCCAGCTCGTCCCAGAGTGTCCCAGCTCGTCCCAGCTTGTCCCAGAGTGTCCCAGCTTGTCCCAGAGTGTCCCAGCTCGTGTCCCAGAGTGTCCCAGAGTGTCCCAGCTCGTCCCAGAGTGTCCCAGCTCGTCCCAGCTTGTCCCAGAGTGTCCCAGCCCTGCTGAGGCTGATTGCACTGAGCAGTTGGGCGCTGTGGCTGTGTCAAGGCAATGTGAAATAAACCATCCACATCCCAGGGGGAGATGATAGAAGGGGACAGTGACTAAAGGCATAAAGAGAGAGGAGCAGATGTGTCCCTCTTGCCAGCTCTGTTAAAGTGATCCAGTGTGCCCTTTGGGCTTCTGTTTCTGAAAGGGAAGGTTGTGGTGGAATTTTGCCTGTAGAGTATTCCAGGATCAGCATCACCCCTCCTGGACATGGAATGGTGAAGGACAAGGTGCTGCTGCACCTATCCTGGTGTCCTGCTGGCAGCAGCAAGGGGAGGATGAGGTGGTGACAGGAGACAAACCCCATTTCTGCCTGGGAATTGCAGCTCCTCCACTTCTGGATGGTTCTGCTGTCTGGGTGGCAGAGCAAGGGCTGTCTGATGGCTTAGCAAGTCCAAGTGTAGGGACAGAGGGGTTAGGTCAAAACGGAGTTCAGAGTGACTGTGGCCTCCCTCACAGTCACTGCTCATGGGGAGCCTTTTCCCAGCTGCAGAGCTCTGAGGTTGTTCCTTATTACCCTGATGGTGGGTGCTCTTTGGCTGCAGATGTGTGCTGGCTCATGTCCCGTGTGGGACTCTGTGTCATCACAGTTCTAGACCATCCTGGAGCCTCTAGAAGTAGAGCTGGGATTAATCTCTCAAGCTTTCCTCCCTACTTCGTTCCTTAATGGCACTGTGGCCTCCACAGCCCCTCTGCCCTGGCCAGGGCTGCTGGCTTGTCCTGCTCTGGTGCCTGTGTGATCGTGGGCAGGTGGCTCATGGCCTCCTGTGTCTGCAGGTGATGAAGACCTACCACATGTACCATGCAGAGAGCATCAGCGCCGAGAGCAAGCTGAAGGAGGCGGAGAAGCAGGAAGAAAAGCAGTTCAACAAGTCAGGGGACATCAGTGTGAACCTGCTGCGACACGAGGACCGGCCTCAGCGACGCAGCTCCGTCAAGAAGATTGAGAAGATGAAGGAGAAGGTGGGTGAGAGGGAAGGAGGAGGGAGCTGGGCTGGGGCTCTCTGCAGGCAGCAGGGGTTGGCTTCAGCCTCGTCTTTGTGAGGCCATTCCTGTATCTCTGGGAAGGGCTTGGGAAGGCCGGTGTCTCGTGTGTGTGTTCTGCTGGATGGCAACCTAAGGAGGCCATCACAAGTGTCTTCCCTGCTCCTGGCTGTGGAGAGGAGCCAGGACCAGCTTCTAGAGAAGGTTTGACTCAGAGTCGGGGTGGCATGACGGGGATGGGCAGTGCAGCCCTGCACGGGGTGATGGACCTGCACAGGAGCCACGTGGCACCTTCCTGGCTGGCTGGAGGGAGAGCTGGAGGGACTTGGGGGCAGTGGTTTCTGGAGGACAGGACAGGAAGGGGTGGTGGGAGCTGCTTCTCCAGCAGCAGCTCAGGCCATGGGGTGCCGGGACCTGACTGTGCCAGGGGCCCCTGAGGCTGTGCTGAGGAGGGAAGGCACCAGGGTGTCCGGCTTGGCGTGGTGGTGCTGCTGGTCTGGACACCAGACCCTGCTCCAGGAGACTGGGACATGTCTGTTCCTGCTAGCAGAAGAATAGTTTGATCTGTAAAATACCAGTGTTCTTCCTCTGTAGACTGGGAGTGAGAGTGCAGGATTCAGATGGATTTGCTAGGCAAAACCCTTTGTGCCATCTCAGCCTCAGCAAATTCCCCTGGCCTCAGGATCTCTACAAGTTTTTGTGCTAATTTTGGAGAAAAGGAGATAGCTTCTCCAGCCAGGACACATCTGCTCACTGGCTCATGCAGTCCTGGGGCATTTCTAGCAGTGAACTTCTTGAAAGGGTTAATCTTTTGATTCAGCCATCAGAGCAGGGATCTGCCTGAGCAGATGTCCCAGGTCTGGAGCACATCTGCTTTCCTACAGTTTTGAATTCTGGGTCCTGTTCTGAATTGTAGCTTGGGCCTCTGGGCCAGATTCCACTTTCATACAGCTGCACACATCTGGAGCAAGTCCAAACATATGTCAGCATTTCCAGGGGGAAAATTTGGCCCTCTGGTTTTGACTGATGCCAAAATCCCCAGCAGCAGCTGTGCTCAGGGGCTCCAAGTACCTCTGAGCAGGATGCACTCATCATGGCTGGCTGACAGTGTGAGGGGTGTTCAGATGGGATCTCCTCCACCCTGGCAAGGTCCCTGTTTTCATACCAGATACAAGTTTCACTAATTACCTCATCACACCCAGGCTGCAGGGTGCTGTGGGGCTTTGTGGCAGGAGAAACGGTGCCAGTACCATCCTTTTTGTGCTCTGACACTCCATTCTGCTTTTTCAGAGACAAGCCAAGTATTCTGAAAACAAGCTGAAGTGTACAAAAGCCAGGAATGACTACCTGCTGAACCTGGCAGCCACCAACGCAGCCGTCAGCAAATACTACATCCACGACGTCTCCGACCTCATCGACGTGAGTCCCTCCCCTGTGCCCATCCAGCCTGGCTCAGCTCTTAATTGCACTCCTGTGTGCTGGGAAAGGGGTGTCTGGGGGCTTCAGGACAGTCCTAACTGGGGCTGAACATGTCCTGTGAGTTGGATTTGCCTTGGGGTGAGCCAGGTGAGAGTGATGTTTCTCGGCCCGTTGGTTAGTCTGTGTCTGAGACAGAGAAATCCTTCCTAAGGTCAGACACAGCCTTGGTTTTGGTGCTGAAGCAGAGGGGTTTTTTCTTTCTACTGCTTGGTGCCTTTGGTGGCAATTCAGCACCCGTTGCAGTGCTGTCCTGGCTGGGGAGGGCACCTTGGGGTCTGTCCCAGTGCTCCTCGAAGGGAATAGCCTCAGGGCAGGAACTGCTGGAGGCAGGGTCATGGCAAGGACAGGGGCTGAGCACTGGTGACTCCTACAAACTGCTTTGAGATGATTCAAGCAAGGGATTTACCCAGAGAAGGGATTTCTGCTTCTTCCTTTAACAGGCATCCCACAGCGTGTAGATTGCACAGTACAGTTTCTTCCTGCTGGAGTTGCCTCAGTGAATGCATAAGTAGCTGAGCTTGAAGCACTGAGTTACCATCATTACCTAAATGTACCATTTAAAAAACTGCTTGAGTGTTTACCTCCTTTCCTAGCCCATTAGCATGTAGTTACACTTCTGAGAATTAATTAAAGTCTGATGCAAAACCCCTGATGACTTCAAGATTTTGATATATGATAAAATACTCGTCATTATGTCCCTTTTGTTCTCTTTATTATTGAAGATGTGTTGAAAAACAAGTGAGTTGATAGTGGAGACATTTGAATGGCAGGGTGTGAGAACACCTTGATTTATCTGCAGGCTTTCTGCTTTTGTGGTGTATATTCTCTCAATTACTTTTTAAGCAAGAATGACTTACTTTTGTGGAGTTTTTTGAACTTTGATTTTCTGGAGAATTGCTGAGTTCCATTTTAGTTCTGTCTCTTTATATTATTCTTCCCAACTTTTATTTCCTCACTGACACTTCCACTAGAGTCAGCAGATGGCATTTCTCCTGCACTCCAGGAATCCCTTTAGGGACTTTTCACTAAAGCATCTTTAACATGGAGCAAAGAAATTTCCCCAATTATAAATTCTGTTCACCAAAGAAACAAAATATTGGATGTGTGAGCTGAGCACAGGTGTCCTATATATTTTTATATGTATATATATATATCCTGAAAGGGAGAGGAGTTTTTCTGAGCAGGCTTTTTTACAAGTTGGGTGTGTTTTGCAAGGGTGAGACAAGAAGGGCTTCAGCAGCTCCAGAAGAAAGGGATCCAGGGATCCAGGCCATGGAATGCCAGTGGTGCTGGAGGGGTCTGTGCAGGGCAGCTGAGTCCATGGAAGGAGTGGGTGAGAAGGGGCTCAGGGGGAGCAGAGCCCGGGGCAGCTCCAGGGCCACGCTCCCGTGGCTCCTGCCGGCTCCTGCACTCTCCAGGGAACGGTGAGGGATGCACCAGGCTGGCTCTGGGGTGTGGGGAGACGAGGGGCTCGCACACCCTCCATCTCCAGCACAAACAGCCACGTGTGACTGCTGATTTCACACAGATGCAAACAGGACGCTGCAGCAGCCAATTTACCGGCGTTTCCCCCAAATCCCAGCTGCCCTGGTGCCATCTCTTAGGCACAGCCTGGACATCACTTGCTTCCTGGGCATCCCTGCAGAGCAGTGGCTGGTGACAAAGCTGTGCTGGCCTCCTGCCCTGGAGAGGCAGAGGGCCCAGCTGCTCTGTGAGGGTGGGAGATCTCCAGGGCTGCGGCTTAAGGAGCGCTGGAAAGCCCAGCAGAGGAGCTGTGAATGGGCACAGCACCGGCTGCCCCTCTGTCTCCAGTGGCCTTGTTGTTTCCTCCTAGAAAGGAAGGGAAGAATATAGAGGCAGATCAAATCAGCCTTGGTCAGGCAGTGCACCATGGGGCTTCTCCTTGGATGACACGTGCGTCAGTTTAAACGCCTGGGCTTGGCTCATTTCTGTCATTAACTGTGTGACCAAGTTAATCTTTTTGGCCATGTATGCAAAGAGGAGATAAAGCTCCTTATCCATCCCTCTGGAGTTCTGTGGGAAATGGCTGCAAGACAGTTTGAAGTGGTCACATGAAAGATATCACTGGATTCAGTAGAGAAAATGGAGCAGTCGGTGTCCGTATGAACCGATCTGCCAAAACGTGTGCAGCCTTCTCCGAGTCCTGGAGCAGCAACTTGCTTCCCTTCGGATTAGTGTTTGCTGTATCTGCGCCAAACAAGCCAGGAAAGGAGGGGAACTCTGAGGAAATTCAACATTACATGGAGCCATCAAATTGTTTGGTCCCTGGAAAAATTAGCCGAGTCAAGTTAGGGAACCAAAACAGCAGTTCAAAGAGTTATGCCAAAAATCCTCAGTTAGCTTTACTGGCCTGGTTGAACAGGGCTTGGAGCAACCTGGGCTAGTAGAAGGTGTCCCTGTTCATGGCAGGGTAGTTGAAATTGGATAATCTTTAAGGTCTTTCCCAACACAAACCATTCTGGGATTCTGTAATTTACTTGCCGCACAGTACAGCTCTGGGATTTGCAGCAATGTCAAGAAAGTGCAGGCCAGAAATTAAAATAGTCATATAATTATTATATATTATGCATATAATTAAAAATAATGTAGAATATTTTTTAAAAACCAGATAAGGAAAAAACGCAGAGAAGAGGGAACGGAGCAGAGCAAATGAGTTGGGCTCTTCATTTGCAGGCAGTGCTGGTCCTCTGGAGGCGTTACTGCTCTGCCTTGGAAGTGAAGGGGAGGCTTGCAGGGCACCCAGGTGTTACTCCAGAGTCCCACTTGCTCAGGTGAGGCTCTCATGTGCAGGTTCAGCCTCTCAGATTACAGAGGGGCTCGAAGTTGCTGGAGCCACAGAGCAGTGCGTGCATTTCCCTCTCCCTGCAGCCCAGGAGTGCCCTGCTGCAGCTCTGGGTGGGTGCTGGGAGGCACACAGGTCTTTGGCTGCTTCCGTGCTGTTCTGGCCAAACGTGCTTGCTTGAGCTCCAGGAGCTGGTTTGTTTCTCAAGCTGAACACTGGGATATTTGCACCCCTTGCAGGGTGTTACCAGACGTGATGAATTAATGCTTGGGGAGCTCTGAGCTTGGCAGATGAAAGGCGCTGCAGAAGGGCTGGGGATTATTATTTGTGGTTCTAATTTATTTGCCATCAAAGGGATGAGAGGGGTGAGAAAATGCCATTTGTTCTGGGGCTGGGAGCCTCGGTTTGAAGTCTTTTTTTTCTTCCTTTTTCTTTTCCCCTCCCCATTGTGTGTTCCTCTGGGAATTGCGTGGAAGTCCCTGCTTCGTCTTTTCTTCTGTGGGCACCCGTGTGTGAAGCAGCCGGCGCGGTGCTGATCAGCAGGGACTTCAAGGGCTGCAGTGTGTGCGGGAAGTGCCTGCCCTGGTTCTCAGGAGCAGCTGATTGCTGGGCACAGCAAATCACTGCTGGCTTCAGTGCGAGGCCAGCAGCACAAGAAAGGAAACATTTCACATGGAATTTTCTCCTAAAAGCATCTGGCAATGCCCTGAGCCCCTCTCCTTGGGTTCTGTGGTATTCAGCGCTTTGCCTTGTAGTGGCTCAGTTTTGTGTGTTTTGGGAATTCCCACACTTGAGCAGTGGCAGATATTGCCTCCTGGTTTTTTGTAGCCAAGTAGCTGTGATTTCAGGGGCTGGGAGAACACGGGTGAGGGCTGGGAAATGCTGGGGAATGCACAGTGCATTCCCAGGGTACAGTGGTCAGCTGGTCATGGCAGGAGTGCTGGTCCTCCCCCAGTGCTGGCACAGGGGTCCCAGCCCTGGTCCCTGCCCGTCTGTGTGGCAGCCCCTCGGCTGCATTGTCCCACCTCTGGGCTTCCTGTACAACCTGGAGTGGTGCAGATGTTCATGCTGAAACTCTCTCATGGCAGAAACTTGCAGTGCAAAATGATGTTTTGCCCCAAGCAGCAAATGGAAATTCACCCCTTATCTTTTTTGTGTTGCTTGTTGATTTTTTCAAGGCAGGTCTGTGCCAGTCTATAACTGCCCATACTCTGAATTAATGTGATTAGAAACAAAATAAAAGCAGGATAAATGGAAGGCTGTGACAATTGAATGATTTTTACAAAATTCCTCATTATTGCACCTGGGGCTTCAGAGCTTCTAAAGATGAGGGGAGCAGTGGGGCTGGGAGCTGGCCCAGTGTAGCTTTGCTCCTGCTGGTTCCAGCAGAGGCTGCAGCAAGCACAGCCCTGCTGTGACGTGATCTGAGCTGAGCCGTGTCTCCTCACATCGGCTCCGAGCATGAGATGCCTTCTTGGCTTGGAGCTGCTTGTGGCACCAACTGAGGTTTTGGATTTCACTTCGAGTTTATCAATCTGAATTTCAGGAGGTATTTCTTCATGGAAAGGGTTGTCAGACAGTGGAACGGGCTGCCCAGGGAAGTGGTGGAGTTTCCATCCCTGGAGGCGTTCATGGAATAGCCAGATGTGGCATTCAGTGCCCTGGGCTGGGTGACAAAAGTGGGGGATCGGTCACAGGTTGGACTTGCTCAGCTCTGATGGATCTTCCAGGGCAGCAAATCCCTGTGCTGGTATGACACTTGACATGCCAAATTCAGCTGTAGTGAGGACGATGTTTAAAACCAGGTTTTTGTCTAAAATACAGTATTTTGGCAGCAATTAACTCCAAGTTTTATCATTTTCCCCAAGACAGACACGAGAGTGATCAGCAGCATGAGGAGCTGCTCCATGGTGGGAGGCAGGCAGCTGTGCAGGGACAGAGCAGGATGTGCACACGCTGCAGGGCACGGTGTCCACTGCCACGCCTCGCTTCAACATCCATCTGCACTTGAGAACCTTGAGAAACGGTTTGGGAGTGTTTGTGTGACCAGGCCCCACTTTGTGTTTCTCAGTGCTGTGATCTGGGATTCCACGCCAGCCTTGCTCGGACCTTCAGGACGTACCTGTCTGCTGAGTACAACCTGGAGACGTCCCGCCACGAGGGCCTGGACATCATCGAGAACGCTGTGGACAACCTGGACGCACGGAGCGACAAGCACACCATCATGGACATGTGCAACCAGGTCTTCTGCCCGCCGCTGAAGTTCGAGTTCCAGCCACACATGGGGGATGAGGTAACGTGCTCACCTGTGGGGCTGCAGAGGGGCCCGGCCTGGCCCTCCCCGTGACCATCGCTGGGAAATTGTTCCTGACTCCTTACTGCTCTCGGCTGCCTTCACTCACTGCTCTTTGTGTTTCCTTTCCTAATGAGACTCTTGGCTCGTTAGGGCTCCTCCTTTCAGGCTGCCTCTTGCTCCGTGTCTCTCCCAATTAGGGAGCCCACGGTTTGGCTCTCTCTGCCCCACAGATCTGCACAGGGGAGCTGTGATTAACCTGCTGTAATTGGGAGATGGCCGAGTGCAAATCACTCGGTGCTGGCCCAGCTCCGGGGCACTGCTGATGGGACACATGGCAACACAACCTCTCTGGAGGCTGCCAGGAGCTCGTGGGGGCTGGAGGGGATTGCGTGGGTGTGGAAATGCGTGTCTGGATCGTGTGTGACCCATGGAATGTCTCCTGTCTCAGGTGTGCCAGGTGAGCGCCCAGCAGCCCGTGCAGACCGAGCTGCTGATGCGGTACCACCAGCTGCAGTCTCGGCTGGCCACTCTCAAGATTGAGAATGAAGAGGTAAGAGGTCAGGGCTGTGGGCAGAGCTGCTGAGCCTTGTTCCTCTGGAGGTTTCCTGGTGTGCTCAGGTGTGGAGCCCCTCCTGTGGTAGGGCTGGAGGTGCCCACAGACCGCAGCCAGTGCTAGCCCAGGGCTCAGGAGCTGCCTGTTGAGTGGCTGGCTCAAGATGGGTCCCCTTTTCCCAGTCTGCCTCAAACCACGCTGTCCTGTTTCTGGTAGGTACGGAAAACGCTGGATGCCACAATGCAGACCTTGCAGGACATGCTGACAGTGGAAGATTTTGATGTTTCAGATGCCTTCCAGCACAGCCGCTCCACTGAGTCAGTCAAATCAGCTGCATCAGAGACCTACATGAGCAAAATCAACATTGCCAAGAGGAGAGCCAACCAGCAGGAGACTGAAATGTTCTATTTCACTGTGAGTCTCAGCTCAGGCCATACAGGACATGAAGCATTAATTGCCAGGGCTGAGGCCCAGTTAAGTGCTCATTAGTGAAGAGCAAGAACCAATTCAGTCTCTTTAAGTACTTGTCTTCTGTCACATTTGGGTCTGGAATGCATTTCAGTGGCAGGGCACTACACAGGGACTGACAGTCCAGTGCCTGCTTGTTTTTCTCTTTGAGGGAACAACTGGAGCAGCCAGATGAGATTGAAAACTTTCTGGGTGGAGTAGGAGAGGCACAGAGCAGGGCACAGACTCCAGATGGCCTCACTATGGGCCACCAGCTAGGGTCTCTTCAGGAAGGCCTTCAGGACTGTGAGCTAGGAGCCCAAGTCTTCTTCTCTAGCCTTGTTCAGCTTAAATTTGCCCTTGGCCCACGATGAGCTGAGGCCACTCGTGTGCCAAGGAAGGCACAGAAGCTGGGCTGTGGTGTGTGTGCCTGCCCTGCAGCTCCCATGCTGCACTCCTGGGCAGAGCTCAGGTCTGTGTTCTGGTACCTGAAATACAGGCAACAGGCATGAGTTCACCAGAACCTCCCTCATTTCATGTAGTCATAGCCTATGGTAAACAGCTTCTTGTGCTGTATTACATATGCATAGAAGAGCTTCTACTTTCTCTTAAAAATAATATTGTAAATTGGGAGGGAAATTGCAATTTTTGTTTGGAATTGTGCTTGGGATTATTTTAATGGTTTTTGCAGAGATTTGATCTTTCCCATTCTCTGTCTTCTGTTTTCCATCTCCTGTCTCCCTCTCTGCTCTGTGTAATGCCTTGCTCTGGATTGTTCATGGGTGTCCACAGGCTCACTGTGGGATGGGCAGTTGTTCTGCACAGTGTCACCTGCTGCATGGAGCACCTGGCAGTCCCTGCCTGGGAGGGCTCAGGCACTGGGAGTTCTTGCATGGCTTTGTTGGTTTGCACAGAGGCAAAGCCTTGGCAGTGCAGGGAAAGCCTCTTTTGATTTCCTAGGCCATTCCCAGAAGCCTGACAAAAGAAAGCCAGCTTTGAACTCTTTGTCTCTCCCTTCGTTCCCAGGCAGGAGGGGCAGCTCCAAGGAGACCAGGCTAATGAGACCATCAGGGTAGTGGCTGGGGCAGGGAGAAGTGATTGCACCCTGCTGATCCCTGTGGTGCAGCAGTGCATGTCCATCAGGGGCTGTGGTGCTTAACCCACCCTGTGTGTTCTTTAATTCCAGAAATTTAAGGAGTATCTGAATGGCAGTAACCTCATCACAAAGCTCCAGGCTAAACACGACCTGCTGAAGCAAACTCTGGGAGAAGGTGAGTTGGAGTCAGGTCCAGGGAGGATTCTCCTGCCACCTGAGAGGGTTTAAACCATGTGTCATCTGTCAGCCTCACCTGTGTGTTCTCCTGATGGTTCTGTGCCTGGCTGCTGCTGCTCAGGCTAACCAGTGACATGAAAATCATGATTTCCTTGGATTACTCTTCCCGCTTTTCTTTGGCAGTGCACGTAGAGAAATCTCTTTGAATCTGATACTGTGTGCTGAAGTGCTGGGTTACTTTTCCAGCAGCAGAGATTGCTACTGACTCTCACCCTCGGCCACTTTCCTTCCTTTCCCTCTTCTCCCCCAGAAAATTCTAATATTCTTCCTCTAGATTTCTAATCTGTCTTTTAGTGGTGGGGGTGCCAGGTGGGCATCTCTCCTCCCCAAATGCAGCCTCTCTCTGCCAGAAGCCATTCCTTGGGGTGTAGGAACCAGCAGTGGGGGTGTGAGCAGCTGCACAGCTGTGCTCTGCAGTCCTTTGGTGGTGGCTGATGTGGAGGGATGATGGGAACTTGTGTTTCTTACAGGTGAAAGAGCTGAGTGCGGAACAACCAGGTGAGCACGTTCTTCCCCTTGCTTGCTCCTGGGGAGGGCTGGTGCTGGCAGGAGGGGCTGTGGGAAGGGGGGTTTGCTTTGCTACTGGTGCAGCTTGGTGGGGTTGAGTTACCCACCCCCAGCCCCCCTGTGCCCCACATCCTGCTTCCCAGCTGCATGGCCTGGAGTGCTGGGATCGGGGGATGGCAAGCAGCCCTTGGTTCTACTGCAGTGTGGTTTCTGGCTGGCTGGCTCTGATGTGCCTGGATGTGCTTTGTCAGCACGGTGCAGTGTCCTGGAGTGTAGCTGAGATGGGGTTGTGTTCAGACAGGGTGACACGAGGGTGCCCACTCACTCCCTGCCATCCCTCCTCCTTTGAGGACTTCAGTATGTCCCTGAAATCCTGTCCCAGCTCTGGCTGCTTTACCTTTGAGTGCAGAGCACACCTGGATCACAGACTTCATCCCTCTGCTGCAGGAGCTAGAGCTGGGGTAAATGTGACCGAGAGGAGGCTTTGGTCCGTGTCCAGCCCGTGAAGCAGCTCCACAGAGCTGCCGTGGCTCGTGAGGAGTGTGCTGGTGTTCTGACAGAGAGACCAGGCCAGCAAGGCCTCCAGCAGCTCCCTGGAACATGCACAGCCTCTCCGTGTGTGAGCTTGTTCCAACCTTGTTTGTGTTTGATAAAATAAAGCTCCGTTCCCTGTTAGAGGTGGTGAAGCAGATGGTGCAGCCTGGGCGGCCTTGCCAGGCAGGAAGGAGGCGCCTCATGCCGCCGGCACCAGGCCGAGGGGCGCCAGGGCCGGGCCCTGAGGCTCTGCCAGGACAGAGAGGGACCTGCAGAGAGCAGGGGCTGTGCTCCTGTGCGGTGTGGGACACTCCAGGGACAGAAAGGGACCTGCAGAGAGCAGGGGCTGTGCTCCTGTGCGGTGTGGGACACTCCAGGGACAGAAAGGGATGTTCAGAGAGCAGGGGCTGTGCTCCTGTGCAGTGTGGGGCACTCCAGGGACAGAAAGGGATGTTCAGAGAGCAGGGGCTGTGCTCCTGTGCAGTGTGGGACACTCTGAGGAGCTGGCCATAGCCCTGCTCCCTGCCACATCAGCTGTCACAGCTGTCACTGGTGCCTCTGGTCACAGAGCTGCCCTGACACCCCAGGGGTGAGTGCAGGGTGCTGGCTGGGGGCTGCAGACACGGTCCCTGCAGTGTGTGGGGCAGGGCTGGGTGCCCCAAGGGCCAGCAGTCACCTCTGCCCCTCAGTTACACTCCAAGGAGTGGCTGGAAGCTGTAGGAGTGTAGAGTCAAGTTGCTTAGTTAGAGGCATCTGATTAGGGAAGCAGCAGACCCCTGCTGTCCCCTCTGCACCGAGCTCTGTGTAAAGTGTCCGTGTCCATTCTGTGAGAACTCTGCATCCCAGCACCCAGTTTTGTGGGTGTTTGCAGCTGTGCTTGCTGCAGAGGGCAGGGCAGAAATCTGTTTGGGATTTTGTGGTGTTTTTTTAGATCTAGACACTGAATGTCCTTCATTATCTAGAGGAATTGGACTGGGAATAGCATTAATGAAAGTAGCCCTCCAATGTCCTCAGTACTGCACTGAAACCTGTCACAGGCTTCTCTGGCTTCTTCATCACTAGCAGTGGGAGGGTCATCCCCATCCCTGGGATTCCAAACAGGAGTTAGGTACAGGAGGGTGGAGGTGTTCCCACTGTCCTCATTCTGGCCTCTCTCTGTGAGCAGAACGAAATCTGTTTAGGAACAAACAGGAATACCCCAGTGTTTTCTGTGGTGGCTGTGGTTTATTTTGGATGTATCTCCTCTCCTCAGCTGCTCTTGGTGCCTCTTCAGGCTGAGGGAGTGCTGAGCTGGTGGTGGGAGGCAGGAGTTAACTCCAGCTGACCACCAATGCTGTTGGTTTCCTGCTGGAGTGGTGTCCATGTGGGACACACCAGTGAGAGTGGCTGCACGTGAAATCCTCACAGAGGGACTTTTCTTATTTGATTCTTTGATTTGATTTCTTGTTTTCAGTTATAACCTGTGAGATCTCACCCTGTCATTGCATTTATGTTGGTGTTTTGTTGATTTATTTTGTTCCATTTTCTCCCAGGCCCCCATGTCTTCCCCCTAAGCCACAGAAAATGAGGAGACCTAGGCCTCTCTCAGTCTATAATCATAAGCTCTTTAACGGCAATATGGAAACATTCATTAAGGTACTTGCTGGCTTGCAGGAGTGTCTGTGAATGCTGGGAATGGAATGGTGGCTTTCCTGTCCTGGCTGCTTGCCATCCTCAGGGGGTCCCTGTGGCTCATGTGCACCCAGCTGGCGTGGCCAGCACGGCTTTGCCTCGGTGCTGATTTCTCTCCGTAGCTGCCCTCGTGCGTTCCTGGTTTCCCTGTCCCATCAGCTTGGTGCTCCAGACCCCACCCGTGGAGTATGTGCACCCACGTGCAGTGTGAGGCAGTCCTGGATGAGTGTCCTCATTGTCCTGCTGCTCCTACCCATCCTGAGAAGAAAGATTACACAAGCTCAGCCCAGCCCTCAAAGGAGCTACAGACACATCCCCCTTATTCTTTTCCACATGATGGAATGGAAATGGGACCACATTTTGGTGGTCATCCATCCTTGTGGCTGAGAAAGAAGATACAGTGACCCCAGAAATTGTCTCCCACTTCCAAGGACTGCCAGCCTGGGGTAGAAATGCTGTTGTATGTGTGGCTGTGTTGGAGGGCAGACAGGTGATCCTCAGCCTGGCACACAAATCCATCCGTAAGGACCAGCCCAGCTGGCTCGTCCCCTGCCAGGTGCTGCCAGGTGCTGTCCTGTAATCCTGCTCTGGAGAAAGCTTCAGTGAAAACACTTTAGGAAGCACTAAAGACAAACTGTTGGATTAGGTGTCTAATAGGCATCATCTGGCTGGGGTTTATTCCCTCAGCTCAGCCCTAAGCCCGAGGGCAGTGTCTGTACACAGCACCAGCACAGAGAGTGCTGGCCCTGCTGGCAAAGCCTGTAATCCCATTAGGATTTGTGATTACTCCTGACTTAAACTGGTTTTTAAAAAAGTAATGCTCATTAAATCCCAGCCTGTTCAGCACTGAGAAGGAGGAATTACCTGCTCTAGAAGTCTATCTGCGCAGGAGTGTCCCGTGCTAGCAGAGACCTCTTGGGGTGTGCAGCCTCACAGGCAGTGAGTGCCCCCATGGCTGCCCAGTGCCCCCCTCAGAGCCTGTGCCCCAGGCAGGGTCTGTCTCTGTCCTGGGGCTCCTGGGAACGCCAGAGGTTCAGACAGGGAGGAATCCGAGAGGCTGTGGCTGCAGGCCGCCAGGCTGGGGTGCAGCGTGTGCCGAAGGGCTTTGGGAGGGAGGGGACAGCCCAAAGGCCCGTGTTGGCCCTCGCTAAGCTGCCATTGCATTTGAGCGTTCATGGCCTCCCAAGGAGATGCTTACCTCTAACTGAACTTATCCCTGCTTAATCTGTTCTCTTTTTTCCACTCTGCTGCTCTTTTGTGTGCTCAGAGGAAGGAGGAATGCACGAACGAGGAATCAGGTATTTACTGGAGGCCCATCTGCGAGGCGGAGGGAATTGCCCAGAGATGCCACTGTGCTCTGCTGGAAGAACAACCAGAATCCCAGAGAGAAATGTGTCTGCTTGGGCTGTCAGACATGGCTCGTGTCTGGCTTGAGCTTTTGCCACAAGGGGCCTGGGGGAAGCCAGAACTCACCACTGGTTCAGACTCAGGCACTTCACTCCATACACCGTGGTGTTCGTTGGGTTTTTTAGCACCTGCTGGCAGTGGCTCTATCCTTTGGTGGAAATATTGTTATAAGGTGTATTATAGGAAGCTTATTCCATCAGCCAGGTATAGCACAAGTTTTATTTCAGCTCAGCATTCCACCTTTGGGGTGGAATAGCTGTGATCCCTCGTGGCAGTCTCCTGTCTGAGCCAGACAGGGAGCAGCAATGTTTCACACACCTTAGTGACAGCTTTCTTGTGCGTTTTTGGCTGCACACAGTATCCTCAGCGCATTCGACGGCTCTGTGTTTGTAACACCTCCTTTCCCTGCCTGTCCTCTTACTAAACTCCACACCACTAATTTTCAAATCTCTGGTTTTACAGTCTTTAATGCATTTCCCATTATCTATTTGTTAGCAATAGATCAGTAATTTTTTGTCTTTTTCCTTTCCTTTCCTGAAGGATTCAGGACAGGCCATTCCACTTGTTGTAGAAAGCTGCATCCGCTACATCAATCTGTACGGTAAGTTTGCTCTGTACAGCCACAGAAACCTGCCAAGGAGAAAAGGACTTGAGTGAGCAGTGAGATCCAGCAGAGACCCCCAGGGCTGCCTGCAGTCCATTCTCCATGGGCTGGGGTTAGAATTCCCACAGCAATGGCTGTGGGGCAGCATTGGATGACTGGCAGATGGTGAGGTTTTATTAGCACATGCCGGGGTTAAATTGTTTGCTCAGGCCATGAGCCCTTTCAGCACCTTGATCTGGGGGCCTTGGTTGGAGAACATGAGCAGAAGTGAGGTGCAGCAGGCTGTCCCTGCTTGGTCCAAGCCTGTCTGGTGCATCAACTCCTGGAGTTCCACTGTTTTTACCTGCAGGTATTGCCCAACAGTTCCAGAAATCTCTCCTAAAGCATTATTCTCTTCCAGGCCTCCAGCAACAGGGCATCTTCAGAGTCCCTGGCTCCCAGGTGGAAGTCAATGACATCAAGAACTCGTTTGAGAGAGGTGTGTAGCTGGGGTGAGCAGGTACAGCAGGATGCCCTGCCTGAGCAGGGATCCTTGGTGGGAGGTGGTGTGTGCTGGGTGCTTTAGCCATGGTGTAAAGCCTGTGGTAAAGCCATTTCTGCTATGAGACACAAGCAGGTTTTATCCCTTCTGGGTTTCTGTGTCGTGTCTCTGGCAGTAGTGAGGAGTCACCCAGGGAAGGAGTATGAGAAGTAGGGGTATGTGCAGAGGGCTTTTCCATGGTCATTAAATCACAAAAGCATAAAAGAGTTTGCTGGGGATCCTTGATGCCTGCAGCAGTCTGCCAAGGGAGGTGCAGCATTCCCCCCTGGACCTGATGCCAGTGCTGGCTGTGGAGGTCTCACCAGTGAATCTGTTGGGAAAATCACTCAGGATGCCAGGCCATTGAGAAAGGGAAAGCAGTCCTGAGTGGAGGGGAGCTGTGACGGGGACAGTCCTGCTGGGAATAGTGACCCTTAATCCTTCAGCAGCATTGGAAGGATCAGGATGAAGGTGGATGGGCCAGTGGATAAGGCAGTGTTAGGGTTGTCAAAGGGTAGAGGATTTGCACATCCAATTTAAGATTAATTAGTATCCAAATCTTGGGGGCACTGAGATCCTTTCACAGATTTCAGTCAGTACAGAGCTATCCAGAACCACTGGGTCCATTCCAGAGGTGCAGTTGTATCCCCCAGCCAAGCCTGTCCTCTCAGGCTCTCACTCACTGTCATTGAGACCTCCTCAGCTTTCCAGGCTGGTGCTGGAAATGCAAAAAATGAGCTGAGCTGGAAATGGTGAAGGAGAAACAACCAATATCATCCTTGTCCTCAGGAAAGGTTTGAAATCCCCCAGTAAAACTGGTTTTCAGGAAAAATCAGCATTGCAAATTGCACATGAGGAGGGTTTCTGAACCCTGGGAAATTTGGGTATTCCACTAAATGAGGAAAACCACTTGTGTTAGTCCAGCTTGATGGTGATGATGCATATAAAACCTTTTCTCTGGGCAGGTGAAGACCCCCTTGCTGATGATCAGAATGAAAGAGACATTAACTCAGTGGCTGGAGTCTTGAAGCTGTATTTCCGGGGACTGGAAAACCCCCTCTTTCCTAAGGAAAGGTTTCAAGATTTGATATCTACTATAAGTAAGTACATGTGGCAGCTCTTTGTGGAGAAGTGGGTGGGATGAGAGAAGCCCTGGATGGGGGCAGGTGCACCTGAGTTTGCAGACAGGGGTTTCTGCTCTGGGGAGGGTGGCACGTGGGCAGGGGGAGCTGTTGGGAAGGAGTGTGCACCGAGAGAGAGGGGAAATGACTTCTCTGGGGGGAAGAAAGGAGGCAAAATGAGCTTGATGTTTCAGAGGCGATGGAAGTGCTGCCCATTTTGGCTACAGGTTACAGGAGAGATGCTGGGGTTGTTTGGGGTTGGGGTGTCTCAGCTGTAGGGGCACCAGTGGGGGACCTGCTCAAGATCTTGTCTCGGCTTCACTGCCCGTGGTGCTTTCATCCCTTCTGAGTGTGCATGTTCATAACTGCTGGGGTCTAGTGATGCTGAGGTGATACCTGGAGGGCACTATGGGCTTGTTCCAGAGCAGAAGAATGTGTTCTGATTTCTCAAGAACAGTTGTTTTATGTGGTAGATTGAGGAAATTCAGTTTTGATGTGTAAAGTAGCGCAGCACACGTGAGACAGACAAAGGAAGTCGGTTCTGCACCGGTTCCTTGCCCTGGACAAGGATTTGCAGTTTGGCTTGTGCTTTCTCTGGCTGCCCTCCACAGGGGCTGCAGAGCTGGGAGCCTTAGGGCACAGCCTGGGAGAAGGGGATGGGTCCCCTCCAGTGCCAGAATGTTCTTGATAACATGGCTGCCTGTGTGCTTGCTGATAGGCTTGTGTTTGACACAGCCCTAGTTCATGCTAATTTGCATGATTTATTAAGCTTTTGGGAGTTTTTTTGCAGACATTGTTAATTTTCTGGGTGCTATTCTCTTATCTCTCTTTATTTTTCCAATTTTAACAAGAATCTTCATTTTCCTCGTCTTTCTCTTCCTGGTGCTCTTGCAACCTTTTGATTAAGGACAGATTTTAAATAAATTGAAGTGCTTTTGCTCTTGGGGAGCTGGGGATTTATGTGGAAGCTTTCAAAGGCACAAGGGCAATAGACAGGTCAAAAGGCACTTTGCAGAGTCCACATGGGGCTGGCCTTGTGTGTGCAGTGGTGGTGGGAACCCTGTCAATTCCTGAGTTGTGCCCAGTTGAAACATTCTGCTAAGTGAGAAAAGCAAGTGCTTTGAGAGTTTGTTCCTCTGGGTGTCACAGCAGATATCTGTTGTCATAGGGTTTTATCCAGTTTGTATTTAGTTGGGTTTTTTTTTTAAACAAATATACTCTTATGTAAAACCAAACTGAAGAAGTAGAGAACCCAGCAGGCAATAATGGGATCAATCAGATGGAAAATTTCCCCATGTGAAATACTATAAAGCTATGCATCTTGGTATTGAGGACAGATTTTGTTCAGAATTTTGATTAAATGGCAGCCTAGCTACATGTCAGTGAATTTTATTGTGATTATCAAATGGCATAGTTTGAGCCAGAACAAGACTTCTCTGTGATCCACCTGCTCCAGAAAAGCTCTGGTGCTTGTCCTCTGCTTCCTGTGAAAGAGCAGCCATGGGATTAGCTCTGTACAGAATACAGGGCTGGCTTAAAGGCAGGACAGCCCTGAGTAACCCCTTCCCCTGGGAGGGAGCAGGTGTCTGATGGCAGCTCTGAGCTCTGCACTCCTGTGGAGAGCAGTGAATCTGAAAGTATTGACTCAGCCCTGGCTCAGCTAACCTATTTCCTAGGAATTTCTAATTCCTATTCAGAGCAGTAGGAGACAGGAGTGGAGGGGCTCTGAAGGATCCAGTGCATAACTCAGAAGGGTAACCTGAATAAGAACCTCATTTAAAAATCTGCCCTAGAAAATCAAGCAGCACTGTGTTTTCAGTGCCACATTGACTCAGGCTTTTGAGGAACAGAGGAGTTGTTGAGGAATGAAATGAATAATGCATAAACATTTCTTTTAAAAATAAGCCCATGGAAATGTCTTTATTTGCTGTTGGTACTGCATCTGAACATAAGAGTTCCCTGCTGGAGCAGCAGTGTCCCCCATTCTCTTCCTGCATCTCAGTACCAAGCTCACGGATGACCTCTGGAGACGGGCTTTTGTTTTCCTCGCTTACTGGGCCACTAGATCTGGAACAAGTCCCTCTGGTGCTGAGCTGTCTGGTCCTGAAAAGGTTTTTAAGGATGTGCTTTCTATCTATGTGTTCCAGAAATTGAGAACCCTACAGAGAGAGTGCACCAGATCCAGCAGATCATTGTCACTCTGCCTCGGGCTGTCATCGTGGTCATGAGATACCTCTTTGCTTTCCTTAACCAGTGAGTGTTTTCCTGCTTCACCAAGTTCCTCCTTGCTGTCCCTTTTGCCCGGGCTTTGCTGCATGAGGCCTCTGTGGTGTTGCCATGGGCAGCTGTGCTTTGGTTGTTGCCCAGCCTGGTGGCTGTGTGCCCGGGAGGGGCAGCCCGGGGCGCTGGGCTGTGCTGGCAGCTGTTCCCAGCCAGGAACGGCAGCTCCCTCACTCGTGTGCTTGCAGCTTGTCACAGTACAGTGATGAGAACATGATGGATCCCTACAACCTGGCCATCTGCTTCGGGCCCACGCTGATGCACATTCCTGACGGGCAGGATCCGGTGTCCTGCCAGGCCCATGTCAATGAGGTCATCAAAACCATCATCATTCACCACGAGGGCATCTTCCCCAGCCACCGAGAGCTGGAAGGGCCTGTCTACGAGAAGTGCATGACCGGAGGGGAGGAGTACTGGTGAGCTCTGCAGGGTTCCTGCCTACAAACACCTTCATCAGGCCAAGAGGCTCTTGCACACTGAAGCATTTGATTTAATCTTACCAGTCAAAACAGACAGTTTCACCAGGTGTTTCATTTTCTTGTGCTGACTCACAAGTTACAAACCTTGGTAAAAAACATCAGAGGAAACTTTTTCCAGTGCAAATACTAATACCGAGGAAAGTTTTTTGAGCTGCAGATCCCCAGAAGTGTGTTCAGCAAAACAGAATTTTAGGTAAATTCTACCCAAATTCATACTAGGCTGGAAATTTTGGGTAAGGACCCATAGTTCCATCATAATTTTCTGGTTGGATAAATCCTTTGGCCCAAGGTTAACCCAAACCTTCCAGTTCCCTTGTTGCTGGAATTCTAACCAAGCATTCAGGTCTGGGTTTAGCAAACCAAGATCAGTAACAGACTTGAACTGATTTTCTACAAGTTTCATCCATTTCTGAGACCTTACCATGCCTGATACTAGTCACGTGCCACCCTCCTTCCTGGTGCAGCAGAGGAGCAAATGCTCACTGTGAATTAGGGAATGGGACATTTAACTTGGTGTCACTTTGTGTTAATTTTGCCAAACTCTGCTAAAGACACAAGAGCCAGCAGAATGTGACATTCTGGGCCTGGTGACCATGGTGTGTCTGCTGTTCTGTCTTTGGGATCTGCTGTGATTAGAAATCATAGCATCAGAGAATCAGAAATTACAGAATTAGTTAGGCTGGGAAAAACCTCCAAGGCTGAGTCCAACCTTTGACCAAACACCATCTTGTCACCTAGACATGTCCAGTTGTTTGTTGTACACCTCCAGAGATGGGAGCTCCAGCACCATTAGGTGTGCTGGGTGCTTTGGTGTCCTTCTCTGTGTGACACCGCTGTGTTCTCTGCAGTGACAGCCCGCACAGCGAGCCGGGCACCATCGATGAGGTGGACCATGACAACGGGACAGAGCCACACACCAGCGACGATGGTGAGCAGGACATGAGATGGGGCTGGCTCTGTGCAGCAGAGCTGTGCTTGCAGGAGAGCAGCAAGCACTGCAGGGCAGAGGCTGCACAGGCTGGCTGCTGGCAGAGCTGGGCTGGGCTGGAGCAGGAGGCAGAGCTGGGCTGGGCTGGAGCAGGAGGCAGAGCTGGGATGGAGCAGGAGCAGGAGGCAGTGATGGGCTGGGCTGGAGCAGGAGGCAGAGCTGGGATGGAGCAGGAGCAGGAGGCAGTGATGGGCTGGGCTGGAGCAGGAGGCAGAGCTGCGATGGGCTGGAGCAGGAGGAGCCCTGGGCTTCCCACATGCCAGCAGCACCAGCTGCGAGGCTGGAGTTTGGGAAATGCCACTGGCACTGCTGTGGGGCAGGGAACCAAGGCAGGGCTTGCTGTGTTGGAAGGTCCCTGGGGTGCTGAGCACCTTCTGCCTCTGACAGCTGCTGCTGCCCTGGCTGTGTCCTGCCTTGGCAGAACACATCTGCCTTGTGAGGCTGCACAGAGGAGGAAGGGATCACCTGGAACATGGGGTGAGCCTGGGTGGCTCCAGGCACAGGGAAGGGCACAGGGAGGGGCACAGGGAAGGGCACACGAGGCCAGGTATCTCCAGGCACAGGGAAGGGCACAGGGAAGGGCACTCAAGGCTGGGTGGCTCTGGGCACAGGGAAGGGCATGTGGGGCTGGGCAGCTCCAGGCTTGCTCTCAGCTCAAGGCAGGAGCCCACAGGCCTGGCAAAGTGAGGCAAAGGAGCTGCTGTGCAGCCAATTTCACACTTGGGTGGCCACCACGTTAATGGCTCTGATTGGGTTTTCCTAGTGATTAACTGTGGTGCCAAGTGTAGAGCAGAGGAGTGGCTGTATTTTGTGGGTTTACATATTCCCTCTCCCCCTTGCCCTGCATACACCCCGTGGTGGTAGCCCAGCATTGTGTCAGGGCTGTGGCAGGAGCCCTCCTGGCTCTGTTTCCTCCAGAACACTCTGTATTGATCCCCCTGTGGTGTTCCCACACACTCTGCCCTCATGTGGGGTTGTTTAAGGTGGGGAAGATGAATTTGCTGAAGTGGCCTGGCCTGTCCCAGGTGGGGCTGGAATGGGGCAAGGGTCAGATGCATCATCTCCTGTGTCCTCCTTTGGTGTCCCCTCCTCCATGTGGGTTTGGTCCCTGAGCAGTGTGGGGTCACACTCCGATGGCTGCTGAGCCCACAGTGAGGAGGCAGAGCAAGGTTCCATGTTTAATGAGAATGAGGCAGATCTGGAGGAAACTGGCCAAGCTTGCCCTGTTCTGCTTTGTAATTTTCTGTCTGCCCGTCTCCAGGTGGGGATTGAAAGGCTCCACTGTCTCAGATCATCAGGGCATGTTAATGCTCCAGCAGTGGCAGGGGTGGCTGGGGAGTGGCAGCAGTCTGTCACCCAAGGGAGGCTGGGTCACTCTGGAATGAGGAGAGAGACACTGTTGCTGCTTTGCAGTTGTTTGCAATGGTTCCTTTAGGATTCAGTGTTCCCCAGCTGGAAACAGATGTGTGTAGGAGCCAGGCTCTTTCACAGGTGCCATTGGGTGCCCCAGCAGCTCCTGCTGTCACTCCCTTGGCCAGAGGCTTAGAGGACCCTGGTGTGCTCATGACCTTCCCAAGTGCAGTTCTGCCTCAGCCCTCCTGTGTTTCGGGCCCTGAGCTCCCAGTTTGTGAGTCATGGGTGTTTGGTAGAGCTCACATTAGGAAAAGTGGGGAGCAGTGAGGCAGAGTGCTGCAGATGGCACAGTGCAGAGCAGCTGCCTGGCTGGAAATGGTATCCTTATTTCCATGGGGATCCCCAAAGGGGCATTAGTTGCTCATCAATAATTCAGGCCAAACCGTCTCCAGGATAAGGAGGGAAAGAGAAGGTAAGTGGGGTTTGATTGCAGCATCTGACACTGCTTTGACAAAATCTCAGGCTGGAGGATAATGAGGTTCTGTAACCAAAGGTGGAAAATGGGAATGTGGGTGAGAATGCCGTATGCACAGAGGGAGATTGCTGCTGCTCCCCATCTGTTTTGGAGCTCTTTGCAGTTGCTGATAGTTTGTGAGTCTGAGAGAGGTCCCAGAAAGCCTGGAGCAACAGGGATTGATGAGTCTGAAAACAAGATTGTTGTGTTCAGTGTGAGGTGCTCTGGGGACGGGCAGCAGCACTGGTGCTCTGGTGAGGTGGCTCTGGAGGCTTCAGCCTCCCTTGTGTGGCTGAACTGAGCTGCACTCTCGCTGTGCCTGTCTCCTGTGCAGAGGTGGAGCAGATCGAAGCCATAGCCAAGTTTGACTACATTGGACGATCTCCACGGGAGCTCTCCTTCAAGAAAGGGGCCTCGCTCCTGCTGTACCATCGGGCATCGGAGGACTGGTGGGAAGGGAGACACAACGGGGTGGATGGGCTCATTCCCCACCAGTACATCGTGGTGCAAGACATGTGAGTAAAGTGAGGGTTGTTAAAATCCTACACTTGCACAAGGTCCACTTGAGTCACCTGAAATAATCAGTTGGTTTTGCTGAGGTTTAATGACTTTGGTGAGAAGTCTGGGCCTGGTCATTTATCCATCTCAATGTATTGGCTCCATCTGTTTCACATTTGGGCTGATAAAGACCAGTACTAAACACTGTACCTCACTGTACCTGGACCCCATCTCTCATTGACTCCCCAGTGTGACCCAGCCTTACCTGGATTGTTGGGTGCTCACCTGGGCTGTGAGCAGATCCCAGGGCCCTTGGCAGGTGCTGCTTCTCTTCCAAGTGCTGTATCTGGAGTCATCAGTGGCAGCCACATCACAGGGGATGGGGAGGCGGGTGTGCACTGTTCCCCAGGGAAGTGGTGGCCTTGGTGAGCTCCTTGTTAACAAAGCGTGGAGCTGCTGAAGTGCTGATGTTCAGATTGACGTGGCACCAGGAATGGCGCAGCCCTGTCACTGCTGAGGTTTGCTTTCCCTAGGGATGACGCCTTCTCCGACAGCCTGAGCCAGAAGGCCGACAGCGAGGCGAGCAGCGGGCCACTGCTGGATGATAAAGCCTCCTCCAAGAACGACATCCAGTCACCCACAGATCATATCATGGACTATGGCTTTGGGGGAGTGATGGGCAGGTAACTCCCTTATTCCTGTCACTGGAGGTGGGTGCTGTTGCAGGTGTGGGCAGTCGGTGTGTGGGGTAGGGCAGGATGGGAGGGAAAGCTCTAGTAAGCACTGCAGGGGATTTCATGTTCATTGCTAATGGGGATTTAACATTTACAGAAGATACAGAGGGGCCCTGAGCAGCCTGGGATAGTGGAGGTGTCCCTGCCCACGGCAGGGGGTTCAAACAAGATGAACTTTGAGGTCCCTTCCGACCCAAACTACTCCTGCAATGTGATGCTGTCCCTTTCTTGGTGCTGGCTAAGATATTTGTCTTCTCTCTTGTGTGAGCCTTCTGAAGCCAGAAGGAATTTGGTGTGAGCTGAGCTCGGGGCTGAGGGGAGTGGTGGGGCTGGCAGACGCTGACCTGCTGTTGTGCTGTGTTCTGTGCAGAGTGAGGTTGAGGTCTGATGGTGCAGCCATCCCCCGGCGCCGCAGCGGAGGGGACACCCACAGCCCGCCCCGAGGGATGGGGCCTGGCATGGACACCCCTCCTCGAGCAGCAGCCTGCCCCAGCAGCCCCCACAAGATCCCCCTCAACAGGGGCAGGATGGAGAGTCCTGAGAAGCGCAGGATGGCGACGTTTGGCAGCGCGGGCAGCATCAATTTCCCAGACAGGAAGGCCCTGGCTGACAGCCACCCACTGAGATCGACCTGTGGATCCACCCGGCACAGCAGTCTGGGAGATCAGAAATCCCTGGAAGCAGAAGCTCTTGCTGAGGTCAGAGGGCTGGGAAGGGACCAAGGGGCTGAAGGGGAGCTGGGGGCACTGGAGCCCCCTCACCCCCGGCGCTGTTACAGTGCCGCTGTCACTCCCAGCTCTCTTGGCTTTTTCTTGTAAAAGGTGCTCACCCTGCTGATGTGAATTTTCACCTTGAAGCCTGTGGGGCTGCTGGGTTTTGGGGTCCTGAGGCTTCTCTGGGAGAATATTTTCACTCATCATCTTAGGAGCTTAATAGAATGAACTGGTGCTAACTTGATAGTTACTTCCCTTCAGCTGATCCTTTGAACATTACCTGAGGCTCACTGAGCATTTTGTAGGTGTTATAAAATTCAGGGCCTGTCTACACCAGGACAGCATTGACTAGAGTGACTTTCCAAACAGTTGACTCTGGTGCCTTGAATTGCTTCTCTGATGGTCTTGCTGAGTTAGTGGCCTTATTAAGTTAAGGTGGATTTAAGCAAAGGCAAACTAGGACCTCTCCATTTGTGCAGGAGACCCCAGCACTGCAGCTGTAGGCAGTAGCTATTTCCCTGGATCACCTTCTGGGGGATCCCTGTGGGCAGATTGTGTGGCCTGGAGTGAGGGGCTGGAGCCAATCTCTCCTCAGCTGCCTCAGGCCTTGTTGCTGCCTCTCGTATATCCACGGCGAGCTGCTGTTGTGCCACTCACTCCATAATCGTCCCTGTGTGTGTCCCTGCCACGAGCCATCGTCCTGTGAGCACAGGGACAGCAGAGGCCCTGTGCATCCAGCGGAGGCTGCGGGGCCTCTTTTGTGAGGAAAAGGCAGCCCCAGTGCCGTGGGGGAGCTGTGTGAGCAGGCTGGTGTTCACCCCGTCACCCCTGGTGTTCACCCCATCACCCCTGGTGTTCACTCTGTCACCCCTGGTGTTCACCCCGTCACCCCTGGTGTTCACCCCATCACTCCTGGTGTTCACCCCGTCACCCCTGGTGTTCACCCCGTCACCCCTGGTGTTCACCCCGTCACCCCTGGTGTTCACTGTCACCCCTGGTGTTCACCCCGTCACCCCTGGCATTCACCCCGTCACTCCTGGTGCTCACCCCGTCACTCCTGGTGCTCCTTCGTGCCCTTTGGAGCTGGTGACTGAGCTCCTGCTGAGCTGGGGAGCACAGGGCACCCTTGGTGCCCTTGGTTTGGGCTTCACGCTTCTCCCAAAGCTCCTGTTTTCCCTGGGAACTCTCAGATCAGAGGTCCCCTGTGCAGGTGCTCATGCCAGGGTGGCGGGGTGGAGCGCAGGAGTGCAGGTGGTGCTGTGGCACAGCGCTGATGCTCCTTTGGCATTCGCAGCACATCGAGAAGACCATGAGCACGGCACTGAACGAGCTGCGGGAGCTGGAGAGGCAGAACACGGCCAAGCAGGCGCCCGACGTGGTGCTGGACACGCTGGAGCCCATGAAGAACCCCCCGATGGGCGCCGCCAACTCGGAGCCGGCCAGCCCCCTGCACACCATCCTGATCCGGGACCCCGACGCGGCCATGCGGCGCAGCAGCAGCTCCACCACCGAGATGATGACCACCTTCAAGCCAGCGCTGTCGGCCCGGCTGGCCGGGGCGCAGCTGCGGCCGCCGCCCATGCGGCCGGTGCGGCCGGTGGTGCAGCACCGCTCCAGCAGCAGCAGCAGCTCGGGGGTGGGCAGCCCTGCCGTCACCCCCACCGAGAAGCTCTTCCCCAGCAGCTCGGCAGACAAATCGGGCACCATGTAGGCTGGGCACGGGGAGCGGGGCGGGCGCGGGCTCGGAGCCCTGCTGGGGAGCCTCTGTGGAAGGAAACACGCGTGGGGCCCGGGCCTGGTGCTGTACATACGTGTGTGTGTATGTACATAGGTGTGCACGCACCCCATCCATGCAGAAACGCTTCCCGAGCTTGCAGTCCTACGGCAGGAGGAGATGGCAGGTCTACGTGTTGGCACTGGAGAACTCACTCGGTGTAGAAGTATATAGTAGAAACAAAGTGTACAGAATTCAGTGACTTTTAAAAACAGTAGATTTACCTCAGAAACTGGCTCTGAAATGTCCTCCCTCGAGACAGTGGGTTGGTCTGGGTTTCCAAGGCTGTCTGTGTGCACCTGGAAGCCCACGCTGCAGCAGCTGTGCGTCAAGCAATACAAGGCCATCCTAGAATTTATTTTCTGTACCTCTTGGCATCAAAAAAACAAAAGGGGTGGGAATACAGTGGGGTCTGTTCACTGCTGGGCTGTGGAGAAGAGCTGGAAATCCATACATTGACCGTGTGTCCGACCAGCTGGAGTTTTTCCGGTCCTGAATCCTGAGATGTCTTCATGTGCCCGTGGTGCCCCGGCAGCAGGGACAAAGCAGGGTGTGTGCCACGGATGGGAATGGAGTGAAGTGAGTGCCATGAGTGGGACAGAGTGAGGTGTGTGCCACACCCTGCGCAGGAGGAGGACTCTGCGCTGCACCCCGACCGTGGAACGCTGCTGCTCTGCAAGATTTCAGGGTGAACAAGGACTAGTGACCAAACCTGTGGTAAAGCATGGAGTAACTTACAGAGTTTGGAGTCTTCATCTCCCTTTCCCCTTTCTTTTCCTTTTTTTTTGTTTAAATCCAAACCCAACCCAATGGTCTCTGAAGAATCAGGCCTGAGCAGTGAGGAGGGGTCTCGGGTCAGAGTGGTTGTCCTGCATGAGAAGCATGAGCCGTGTTTGACCGCATCAGATGCAAAACTGATCTGATGGGTGACACTTTGCACTTTCTGTACTGTACCATACAATACAACTGTTCGAGTTTATGCAAAGGAATCTACATTTTGTCTTACCCAGAGGAAAAGATAGGCAGAAGGCTGGGGATTGCATGGTCCTGTGTGATAATCCAGACTCCTCTGTAAGCACTGAATCCAGGATGCTCCATGCTTCTCCTGCAGCTTTTCCTTGTACAGATTTCCATGCAATGCCCCATGGTTTGATTTGGCACTTCCCCATGGCCACATGCTAATGTCTCCTAATGTTCATCCTTCCTCCCAGCTATCTCTGATCCTGCTGCTCTGTGCCTGGGCAAAGACACCTGCAGGCCCTCCTGACTCACCCAGCAGCCACCCACCCTGCCTGGGGCTTTGCTTTGTCCCCCCCCTTCATCTTCCTCATCTCTCCAGCACTGCTGTGGACCCCAGGCCAAGCAGCCTGACTTCCAGGAGGCAGTGGAGGCACTGAGCAGGGTGGCAGAACCTGTCAGTCCTGCAGTGATTTGTGGGGAGCTCACAGCTCAGACTGCCTGTACATTCACACCTGAACCTCTGTACCTCCATGCTTGTACTTCCACAGCTGCCCCCCACAGCTGCCCCCCACAGCTGCCCCCCACAGCTGCCCCTGTGTGCCAGGCACAGAGCTGATGCCATTGGGACCGGCTGGTGCCCGTCCCGTGCCCACCCCTCGTGTCCCCTCACGCCCCGCTCTGCCAGCCCTGTAAATATTGCTGTACTTGCTTAACTGCTCGAAAGTAACTGTTAACCTGTAAACTGTACAAAAATAGGCTAAAATTAGATAAAGCCGATGCCACTCAACAAATCTTTGCACTTAGTAGGTAGCTCAATGTAAAAATAAACCCAGTAATAATAATAGTAATTCCGAAGGGAAGCGAAGCCGCCGGCACCCCTCGCAGAGCCCGTGGGGAGCAGCTCTGCCCATGTCCCTCCCTGTCACTCTGGCAGGGCAGACGGTGTGTGTGCTTGTCTGTGAACGTCCTCAGCGTTTGTAATGACCACCATTGGTTCATGTTGGTGTTTATTTCTCCATCATCCCCCTTTCCTGGCACAGCCCCTGGCCACTGCCCGGCCTGGCGCAGTGGCTGCAAATGTTCAGCCAGGCTGGGCTGGTCAGGGACCTGTGCTGGGGAGGGAAGGACCCATTTGGCACGAGTGCTGTGTATCCATTGCCAATAATTATTACTTTTGTTTCCATTTAGTTCCTGGAGAACGTTTACTTTGCCAGTTTTCTGTTTTTTATATGCTTTCTGAGATGACTTGAGAGCAAACCCATCTTCATTAGGGGTTTTATTTCCTCCCTTCTTTTCACCATACGGTACAAATTCCAGTGTCTTTCTATTAAATTATTGCCTTTCATTTTCCTTTGTTTTGTTTTGTTGTGGGTTTTTAATGCAATTGTTTTCTTATCTTTAAGTGCCTTTTTGAGCACCAAAACAAACGGTTGGAGTTCAGGCCTGGGGGCGGTGCACACATGGGTTTGTCTGGGCAGTTGTGTTGTGCTGGGGTGATTGTTTTTAAAGTCCTTCCATTTTTCTGTTTAATGAGAAGGGAACCAAGACTTTTTGTTTGAGAATAAACTCCCCCTTTGTAATATGGTATTCCAAGTGTAGTTTTAACTACTGTAAATTTAAGGGAAGAAATGTATTTTTCTGTAAGCGAACTTGGCACAAAATCGAACCACATACATTGTAGGAGCATCATAACTGGAACACACTCACGGTTTGTGAGTGACTGACTCCGATCCTCGGTCCCTCCCTGAGGGCACAGACTGTGTGTGGGCTTCAGAGTTCACAGAACTTCACTGTGACAGCCACAGCCGAGCTGCCACTGGAGCCAGATGCGGTGAGCTGTGCCCCCGGCCCGCGGAGGGCGGCTGCTCAGGGCAGCTCTGCTGTGCAGTGCAGAGTGAGTGCTGTTCTGGGCTTGGCTCCACTGCCCTGCCCCATCCATCCCACCTGTGGTCCTGCTCCATCCATCCATCCATCCATCCATCCATCCATCCATCCATCATCCATCCATCCATCCATCATCCATCCATCCATCCCAGCCGTGGTCCTGCCCTGCCCCATCCAGCCCATCCCACCCATGGTCCTGCTCCATCCATCCATCCATCCATCCATCCATCCATCCATCCATCCATCCCACCCATGCCCCTGCTCTGTCCCTCCATCCATCCCAGCCGTGGTCCATCCTGTCCCTCCATCCATCCCAGCCGTGGTCCTGCCGTGGTGCTGTTGGGGAGCGCGGTGGGAGCGCGGTGGCACCGCGGCCCTGCCAGGACAGACCCCGGTGCCTGAGCGCTCCCAGGGCAGCGATGACTGCACTTTGTCCCTTAGGCTGAAGTCCCTGGTCGGTGGTTTTTGTATGCCAGGAATGTTATTTAAGTAGCAGTGTTGTGGTTCCCGTGGGGCGGCTGTAGATGTCCCGAGTCTGATTTGCTTTGCGTGGCTGGGCTGCGAGGTGTGCTGGGGACGGGGTTGGTTTTGCCGGGAGGCCGTGGGACACCGCCGGCTGCTGCCCACTGTACCGGTCATCCTTCTCCTCCTCTTCCTCCTCTGGTGTTGTCTCTGTAACGTATGGTGAGATGCCGTCAGCTAGAGTGTCTGAGTGGGTCCTCGTGTGTGCTGGTGATGCCATGTAGATGAAGCCACTGGTTGAGTGTGGACTCATCCTGTTGAATAAACTGCTTAACTTTTCTCAGAAACGTTGTCTGTGGTTTCAGATCTGCTGCCTCTTCCCCTTCCTACATCCCACAGCATCCTGCCCTGCCTGGGCAATACAGACTGGCTCATCCCCCTGCAGCCGGGCTTTGGGGCTGTTTATGGCTGCTGAGGGGATAAAAAACTCGGACTCTGAACAAACAGAGCCCTTGGCAGCCAGGCTGTGAGGAGCTGTGCTGGACTCTCAGGCTGGGTTATCTCTTCCTGTTGTTTTTCCTCTTTTTGCTGCTGGTTCGTGACTTCACTTTGCTCCCATCCTGGCAGTGTGGAGAGGCAGAGCCCTCCCTGATTGCTCCTGTCACCCATGCTCGAGGTGGGGCAGCTGCAGGCGCAGCTGGGGATGCTCCAGCAGGGTCTGGGGGGCCATGAGCGGGGGGAGGACCGGGTAAAGCTGCAGCTGGGGCTGGAGCTGCATCACTCCGGCTTAAACACGGCCGATGGGCTCGGCCTCAGGGGGAGTGCAGGGTGGGCTCCGCCAGCTCCGCCCTGCTCACAGCCTGTCCTCAGCACGGACAGCAGCCGGCAGCAGCAGGGTGCGGCTCTGGCACGGCCCGGTACCCACCGGGGCAGCGTCCTGGGCCGGGAGCTCCCGGGTACCGCCCCAGGGGAGAGCCCGGGGCGGCTGCAGCCGGTCCTGGGCAGCGGAGACGTGTGGGGGAGCAGGGCCCTGGCCATGCCCTGGGGGTGCCAGCTGTGTGCGACCCCTGTGAAGCCTCTGTGGTGTGTCCAGGTATGCCAGCTGTGTTCCAGCTGTGTTCCAGCTGTGCTCGGTGTGTTCCAGCTGTGTTCCAGCTGTGTTCCAGCTGTGCTCGGTGTGTTCCAGCTGTGTTCCAGCTGTGCTCGGTGTGTTCCAGCTGTGTTCCAGCTGTGTTCCAGCTGTGTTCCAGCTGTGNTTTCCTTTCCTTTCCTTTCCTTTCCTTTCCTTTCCTTTCCTTTCCTTTCCTTTCCTTTCCTTTCCTTTCCTTTCCTTTCCTTTCCCTTTTCCCTTTCCCTTTTCCCTTTTCCCTTTTCCCTTTTCCCTTTTCCCTTTTCCCTTTTCCCTTTTCCCTTTTCCCTTTTCCCTTCCCCCACTGACTGAACTGAAATTAATACCTGAACCATTTCTCTCCAGAGGGTCCAGTTACCCGGGTGAGCTGTAATAATCATTAACTCCAAGTGTGAACAATAAACTGAATTTATTTATTTATTAATTTCTATGGGCCGAATGCGGCATTTGCATTTAAATTACCTTTCCACACTGCTGCGGGCTGACGGTGTGTCGATTTCTTTCTGAAGTCAGAAATTCCATTAAAGATTAAATAATCGCCAAGCGCTTTCTGGCACGGGAGCGGCAGGAGGGGGGAGCCGGGCCCGTGGTGTCCCCGGCAGTGCGGGGATGATGCTGTCCCTGGCAGAGCATCCTCCCGTCCCCATCCCGCTGCAGGGGATGGGCGATTTGTCAAATGAAAACCTGCTGAAATGCAAAGGCAGGGCCGGGGAGAGGCTGGGGCAGCTGCTGTCACACCCTGCTCTCCGCTGGGGAGGAACAGCCCAGCGCTGCTCCCGGGCTGCAGCAGGAGCCTGCAGGGCCAGAGCTCGCCCCTCCAGAGCCTCAGGCAACAGCGGAACCCCCGAGCTGAGGAAGGGAACCCTCAGCTCCCCGCACTCCTCTCTGCGGTGGGTGAGTGCCAGGGAATGCCCTGAGGGTCACCTGCCTTTAACTTGGCTTGGTGCAGCAGCTCAGTGGGGATGGATCCAAGAGGCACTCCCTGTGTGCTCCGAGGGACACCTGAGGGCACTCTGGCACCTGGCACAGCCAGAGCTGATCAATGACAAATGACACAGAGATGGAATGTCAAGGAAATGATGCAGAACTTAGTGATTAGTGCTTTAAACCCAGACTCAAACAAGTGCTCTCAGTCCTGCTGACTGAATCAAATAATCCAAATTACTGATACATTTTTGTATTATTTTCGTGTGCAAAGACATTAAAGTGCTTTTAGGAAATGAGGTAAAGATTTTCCATCCACGTTTAAAACTAAATGAGAGCAGTTTTGTGGGTGCCCAGAGCCTGCTGTGAGCTCATGGCAAGGGCTGTGTGTGTGCCTGGCTGCCCTGTCCCTCCTCTGGCTTCTGAGTCCAACTGGCCTGGGAATGGCTCTGTCCCGGGAATGACTCTATCCCGGGAATGGCTCTGTCCTGGGAATGGCTCTGTCCCAGGAATGGCTGTGCCCTGGGAATGGCTCTGTCCTGGGAATGGCTCTGTCCCAGGAATGGCTCTGTCCCGGGAATGGCTCTATCCCAGGAATGGCTCTGTCCTGGGAATGGCTCTGTCCCGGGAATGGCTCTGTCCCGGGAATGGCTCTGTCCCAGGAATGGCTCTATCCCAGGAATGGCTCTGTCCTGGGAATGGCTCTGTCCCGGGAATGGCTCTGGCCTGGGAATGGCTCTATCCCAGGAATGGCTGTGCCCTGGGAATGGCTGTGTCCTGGGAATGGCTGTGCCCTGGGAATGGCTCTGTCCTGGGAATGGCTCTGTCCCAGGAATGGCTCTGTCCCGGGAATGGCTCTATCCCAGGAATGGCTCTGCCCTGGGAATGGCTCTGTCCCGGGAATGGCTCTGTCCCAGGAATGGCTCTGTCCTGGGAATGGCTCTGTCCCAGGAATGGCTCTGTCCTGGGAATGGCTCTGTCCCAGGAATGGCTCTATCCTGGGAATGGCTCTGTCCTGGGAATGGCTCTGTCCCGGGAATGGCTCTATCCCAGGAATGGCTCTGTCCCAGGCACGGGCCATGCTGGGGAGCCCAGGGTGCAGAGAGGGACATTCATTCCCAGTGAGATCCGGGGTCATGTTGGATGGTCTGGAGCCAGCTGAGCCTCAGGGCTCACCCCATTGTCCCGGCTCAGAGGGATTTTGCAGCCCCTGCTGCTGTTTCAGCTCAGAAATGGCTGCAGATGCCTTTGGGCAGCAGCTCTGCCTTGCCTGCAGTTCCCTGCTCTTGTGGGCATTTGGGAGTTGCTCTGTTACAGTGGCTTTGTGGCTGAGGGTGGATATCAATTGCTGAGGGTGTAGATTTATTGCACCCTCATTGCTTGTGGCTGGTCCATGCCCATGTTGGGCCATTTAGGGCCCTTTTTCCTGCCTGATCCCCTCTGCCCGTGGCTGCCCAACAGCTCAGCCCCCCAGGCAGGGCAGAGACTTTCCTGTGTGGATTTGCGTGTGTTTGGAGACATTCCCCACGAGCCTACGTCTGATTTCCTGTGGAGAGGAGAAAAGACTTGCCAGATGAGACTGATTCCTGAAGCTGGGGAAGTGTTTTTCAGATGTCAGCTGCCCTGGCCCTGCCCAGCCATAGCTCATCAGCGTGGGAGGGACAGTGCTGGCCCCAGCCAGAGCTGCTTTTGGTGCGTTCTGAGCTCGCTTTCAATTTTAGTATTTTTCTTTGAATGTTTGGCTCCCTGTTCCAGCACAAGGCAGAGCAATGTCCCCATGTCCCTGGAGCAGAGCCCTTCCCGTGGCTGAGTGACGTGTCTGGAGTGTTCCTGGTGCCCCCAGCTGTCCCCAGCCACCCCCTGCCCAGCTCGGGGCTCCTGTGACCTGCAGCAGCCAGGGCTGAGCGAGCCCACTCCCCTGGGGAGCTTCTGCTGCATCTGTTCCTGAGCTGGCTGCAGGCTCACAAAGAAAAGAAGAGTATTTACACAACTTCTGGTAACTTTTTTATTTCCCCTTAATATACACCTACAGCCTCACTATAGAAACACTGGAAAGCAGACTTTAGTAGGCCTGAGAGACTGCAGCATTATCCATCTTCTGTAAATACTGTGGAGCATTTGGAAACCTTTTTACGATCACAGCTCAGCTGGAAAACAGCACCACATTCCTGCTGTCCTTTGGGATCAC